TTTTTGAGTCTTTTCTCTATATTTACGCGGAGTGGAGTTACAGAATTTGTGTCTTTGAAGTTTAAAACAAGATGTAGACAATTCAAAAAACACTACCAGAAAATTCTCTTCAACGCCAATGTTGATGAGAATTTACAATGTGAAGGATGATTTTCACATGAAAGCCACAATTCACAGCAACATAAGGTGTGTCTATGATATTTGTGAGGCTTTTCCTTGAATATAATGTTAAATGTTTTTGGTTCATGGAACCCGAGAATTTAATAAAATCTTTGTCTATTCAAAGTGCTCTAAGGAAAGATCGCGGAACATCAGCAGTTTTACATTCGAAAATCAAACAAGCAATTTGCATAGTTCAACTTTTGCGTAATTTATGATACTTGCTGATATCACAAAAATTCCATGAAGAGTGTCTGAATTCTTTGGAAATTATTATAAGCTGCCTCGCCACACTTGAATTCCGCAACGAAAGTCTTTGGGTAAGAATTCGCATTATGTGTAGGACTCTCAGGATTTATGAACATTTCAGACGTTATCAATTAATTTCCGCATGGCTCCTGAGGTGGCACCCTAACGACGTTATTTAGATAAACAAAATTATTTATAAATTTCTTCATTCCTCGAATATATCGGCTGGAAACAAATCGATGGATGTGTGATTTGTGTGCGTGTGTGATTCACACAATTATTACCAGAGTCACGAGAGGGTCTCAATTTTCCACCTCCTCCTTGTCCAAATCCCTTGGGCGGAGTGGAAAAAATGGCGGGAAAATGTAAGGGGTGAAAAAACCCATGCTCAGGCAAATATTTTCCAAAGCTTTTCTCTTCCGCCAGTGTAAGAAACTCAGAGGTGGAAAGGTCTCTGAAAAAAAGAAGGAAATCAGCACAAGAAATTGCATGGTGAAATTCACAGGAAAGAATTTTTCAATTGAGGAAAATGTGTGGGAAAATTTTGATTTATGTGGCATGTGTTTCTCCTCTCAATCGCCCTTCTTGGAGAAAAGGCAATGTCCTTGTGGAAATATATGTAGTGTGAGATAAAGTGCTGGTGTAGCGGAGCAACTCAATAAATATACATTAGATTGTACATTAGATTTCAAGTAGAAATTCTTATATGATTCTCTTCAGAATATTTAAAACACCTCCTCTAGATGTACAAGTTTTTTGGCCACATAACGAATGCTGCCAAAAAAGAAATCGAAAGCCTCCATCCTTCGGTATGACAAATCCTTTCATTCAATTCGTCGCTTTTATGACTTTCTAATATGCATGGGAAAGTATATAGGAAGGCAGAAAATTTGGGGAAAATGATACAACAAATATTGTCATTTTTTGCCCTCCACCCCTCGGCTTGTAAAATTTACATTCCCCCACCGCCTTTCGACGGTATTGCATACAATTTGAAACGCTATGACACCACCCTCGAGAGCGTTGTAAGCTTTTTCAATAAATGCCAGGGAAGGGGGCTGACAGTGATTCACCCCTCGATACTGTCACATGCCAATTGGAGGGCTGAGGAGACACACGTTTAAATTCCAATTGAGATACATTCCACGCTTCATCGTTTTTTTTATACATTTAGCGAAACATTCATCTTGTAAGGGCTTAGGAAAATATGATACAAGCTCAAAACGAAGCAATTTTTATGGAAGAAATCATGCAAAAGTGTTTTATAACACTTAAAGAATTAACCCAATTTACCGAATATGCAAAGCGTGAGAACACAATCAATATGTTATCTACACAACAGCATTTTGCTTTTGACATTGACCAAGAGAGCCCGAAATCCAGATGAGTGTTAAAATTTTATCAACTAGCATGTCTTAAAACCGGAAGCTCTTCTCCCTTTAACCCCCATACATTCATCGTGTTCATCTTTTTTCTCGACCTTCTGCTTCACTGTAAATTTTATTTTTCGGTGTACCTCGGAGGGTGGAAATTTTATTACGTTCTTCATTTTTCTCCCCTTTGGCCACCCTTCAGAAATGTGTGTCTTCTGTTTTTTTTTTCTCTTATGGCCACATTTTGGTACCAACGAGGAGAAACACACGTAAATTCTCCACTTTCTACTTTGTGTCCAATTTACCTCGTTCATTTCGCTCAAATACACTCAGAGAGGGCAATATTTTTGGGTGGATGGAGTGCTTGCCTGAGTCCCAGTCCAACTGACTTAATTAGAAGATATTTCGAGAGTGGTTAGATTGCTTGTGAATTTATTAACTTTGATTTTACACCGAGTAATTGAAAATGTGTCACAGATAAATGATTTTATGGCTGTGCTTCCATCTCGGAGAATTCATCTGTCCACCCAGTCAGGATGATGAATGCTCACTTGGAGCTTGAGTGGAGCTGGAAATTAAGCCCCTCTGGTCAAGATATCATGAAATTATGTGACAGATTCTCTCTGTATATATCTTCCTTACAATCAAAATGGAAAATTGAGGCGCACGACTCAAAATCGTTGTAAAGTTGAGGGGAGAAAATTTTTGCAATGCACTGCAGAAAATTTTCAATTAATTATCGTCTCGTCTGTTGACAATTCGACGAGCATTTTGAGCTTTCACCACCCTACAGTGCTTCATTAATTATTCTTTCTACACATAAAACACACTCGTAGACAAAATTGATGATGCTTAATTACCTAACCAGGAGTATTGATTTAAATTAGCATCTTCCACCCATGACTTTTTCCGCTTCAACTCTTCCGGAGAGACGAGCTCTTTCATGAGTGAAAAATTGCGATAGGAAGCAAAACAATTAACATTTGCTTGATACGCAGATGTAATAACCTTTAATACTGAGGTAAGGTTTTCGATTTTGTGAGTCAGTAAATTGTGAGAATTGTAAGAGATCCTTCTTTCTCTTAAAATGCAAATTTGTTTGATCACTGATCGCTAATTTTGTTTTGAATATAACTGTCAATAAGATTGAAATAGAGTGCGCATTTTGGTACGCCCAACAGCCTAAACTCATTCAATATCCACCACAAATTTCTGTGACTGTTCCATCCTATCCAAGAGGAGGAACTCGTCACAAAATTACTCCCAAATGGTGTCATTTTCATTCCCTCGCGCTGCAGAAGGGTGAGTCTCATGTGCGTGTCTCAATTTTAAATGACATCCAACACTAAATATCAAGCGTCTCTTGTGCGCCTGATAATTGCGAATTGTTGTGATTTCGTTTTGAAGCTTCACGGCACACACGTGAAACAATAACAAGGGGAGGCCTTCCGTGAGGGCAGTGGAATGGGAGAGAGAGAGTGTGCAAAATCATGCTCCCAATGTTGTGTAACATTAAAAGCGTGGAATAAAATTTGCATAGCAAATGATTTCGTCGACTAATTGTGACTTTCCGGGTGGTTGTAATTTTGCCACTGCCACTTTTAGGCCGAAGACGGGGCGCAGAGAAGGGTTGATTTCAGATAAATCAAGAGTAATTGCAATACTAATTGATAACCTATTAATATTTCGCGTGGGAAGTGCTCTTGTTTGGCAGAGTTATATATGTACATAGCTCATATTTATTTTTGGGATCGGCGACTTTTGTGCGGGAAATTTCACGTGATACATTATTCGCAAAATCTCACCCTTCTCTCATCATTATTGTCCTATTTAATTAACTCTTTTATTATTAAGCCATACATACGTGCGGGGAGAGGTGAGACAGTGTATTGGGTGAAACGAATGAATTATTTAGAACATTTTCATACAAATTATTGCAATTCAGCACAATTATTATTGACATTTCTCCTCTGCCTGGCTTTTCCGGGGAAGGTTTCAAAATTTCAGTTATTTCATTTCACCTACATGTACTGTGCTTGAAATATTCATCAGCCCATCCTGAAAGCACTAAATGAGTTGAGTGAATCGCCTGATTTACTCAATGATTTGCAGCTTTCTCCACCGCTTGTAATTAAATTTTGAAATCCGATTTAACTGCAAATTCCCAGTAATTTTGTGCCATTTCAATTCCAGCCCCCTTAATTGACCGTAAAGAATTTCTTGAGAAATTCTCCAGACACACAAACAAAAGTTCCGTGTTAAGAAAGTCATTATACACGATTGCCGACTTTTCATGTTTCTTACTCCTCTCCGTGAGTACAATTGAACACGTCAAACCAATTAAGACGGATTTTTCTTCAGTTCACACAACCAAATGCTCTTTCTCTAAGGAAATTTTTCATAGGAAGAATTACATGCTTCTTTCAACACTGACCACTTTGGCGGATGTATTTCAATTTAACTCGGGATTAGCAACTTGGAGAGGGTTTCATGAAGACTCATAGTTGGTAAGATGACGGGCTGAACATTTCATGCTAGAAAATGCAAATTTTGTAATTGCCGGGAAGCATGAATCTGTCATATTTAGAGCGCGGAGTAATCATTCATCTAGGAATGATGATATGAATCTAAGCACTCTGTGGAGATTGATTTTTGTTGATTGCGTACGCGTTTTCATTGATCAGCACCTAATGTAGCTTCATTTAGAATTAAGATGAGACGAACCGCACAGTAGACTTGAGCAGGCGAAATTACATACAAATTCTTCTCATCCTCCACAAAGTCTCCGGCTTCAGGCATCATTGGGAAATTCATGGTGTTTAATTGCATCTGGCAAGAGCCCATTAGTATGTAAAGCAATTCAGGGTGCTACAATAACCTCTAAGAAATGCACCCCATGGACACCACAGCCTCTCCCGCTGCATGGTGTTGGCAAAAGACGTGTGTCCACAGGCACGTGAATAATTTATAATGTCATTTCATCGTGGAATTGATGTCGCATGCATTAGTTGATTAATATTCAAACAGCACATCCCCGCCAATTGATACTGCAACTGATTCCAGGTGCGGCAGCCCCTTATCAGTGTGGGGGCGCCGCGGCGGCGTTTGAGGAGAGATTGTTGTTGATTTGCGGCCACCTCGACGCATGCTCGGTGTGGCTCACTTGCCACGCGATACTCCACACCGGAACACCATGAAGAAGTCCGCCAAATGGGCATCAGTTGCTTCCTGCGATTTGTTGTGGCAGCAGCAGAAGCTCCGAGGATCCTGGTGTGGATTTACTGGTGATTTTCAGTGTTTTCAATGGTCTTTGTCATCCTTCACTCCAGGAAAGTGTGCTCAAGTGTGGAATTTGTGGGAAAATATTTGATGATAAACCCGCAGTTTATATAAAATTGCCAATCCTTTATCTACACCGCCAACTCAATTAGTCGTCAAACTGCAGAATCCTTGAAAAAGTTCGCCCACTTCCATTCATTTATCATCGCCACAGTGAAAAAGTTCGCGGTATAAATAATAATTGACTCGAGAGCTTTCAAAAGAGAGAGAGAAAGTCATTTTGCTCTCTGCAATTCCGAGTGTTTCTCTATGTTCTTTTACGATTCATCGACGTTTTTTTTACCCCTAAAGCATGGGTAGAAATAAAAGTTTTCAACCCTTTTTAGGGTGGCATAACATATGTGCATTAAGTCCATCCAGCGTAGAGAAGATTTGGCCTGAGAGATAAGTGAAAATGTCTATAAATAAGTTTAGTCGGCCAATTCATGCACAAATTGCAAAAATGTTTTTTGGGCCAGGGGTCGTCGTGGGGACAGACAAAAAGTCTCCAGGAAGTGAAATGCAGTCCTCGTCGAAAATTCCCGTGAAGGTGGGATTTGAGCCGAAAAGCTTTGGCGACCGTAGGAAAAAGGGGGACGAAGGAAAACCCCCGAGCCACACAAAAGAATTGATGTCTCTCGTTTTGTGTTTGCGTGCGACAACATCATAAAATTCTTTCCTTATATTTGCACTGAATTTACCAGCACTCAATTGCCGTATTTTTCGCGTTGAATTGTTTAATTTTCCAATGTTGCGAGTGAAAAACGCCACTTTTTGCCGCTCTGTCGGTATGGCTAAATTGTCCCGGTTCAGTTTGTTTTCCGCCTTTGCCTCTTGGGGTCTGTTTTTGTCCCACTCTGACCACCCATACAACTTGGGGGTTTCCTGTTTTCCATTTAAATCTTTTTCCCAGGCTATGGAGCGATTTTCGTCGTCGCTCTGGCGATTCTGTACAATTGAGACGAGAAGGAAAAGTCCAGAGGGTTGATTGAAAAGTGGGCAGCACAGGAAAAAGAGGCCAATACTCGAGGGTGATTCTCAGGTGACAATTGACCACAGAACTGAAATTCACATTGTAGAGTAATTAAGTTGTCTTATGCGGTTGTTCAGGGGTGAACAACTGCTTTCACTTGAGCTCTACAAATTTCGTCATACTGAAAAAAAGCGGAGTTGAATTTGGTGAAATTTCACTATGATTGAGCGACGGTGATAAGTGAGAATACGAATTCAAAGTGAGAAATATAACTAAAAACACCATTAAATTTTCCTCCTTCAGTAGACACGAAGATTGGTGAATGAAAAGCCACTGTGAGATTTATTGCACGAGTTATTTTAATTGCGGTGCTGACTTTTTGTTATTGTGTTAATTTGTTTTATTGACCGAAAGCCGATGAAAAAAAATTTCAATAGGCACGTGCGAATTATTACCTTTTAATGAGAACTCAGAATTTCCATATATATTTAATATCAAAATAATTCAATATGAAACATCAGTAGCATTAATTGCCATCCCTCAAGTGGTTTTCAACACTGAATGTTGGTGAAAACTTGTGGGTGGTGATTTGATGGACTTGAAACTCACAAGACGAAATGTTCATCCGTTTCTCTGTGTCACAGGCAAATAATCTTCTGTGGTTTGACCACACTGATGGCCGCAAATTGCAAGGCCCCTCGGCGATTCGGGCACCATTTTCCGGCCTCTAAAGCCTCTCACGTGACTGAATTTTTCTCTTTGATATGCCCCTTTGTCCTGGCGGGGATCGGGCGGAATATTAGTTCAATTGACGATGGGTGAGTTGGAAAAATCACAAAACTTCCTTGACGACGGTTTCTGTGTGCCTAAATGTCAAAATAGACGCCAGAAAGAGTTGAATGAATTGAGTTTTGCAGAAATGCCTGTTCTCACAACGAGGGTGAGATGGGGCCATGAATCGGGGCGCAATAAATTTTCAACTTTCTCACTCCGGAGAGAAAAGCAAATTCAACTTCTATGGCAAATTGCTAAATAGTGTGTATAAATTTGACAACGAGGAGAATCATTTAGAGTGGTTTTCACTGTGGCTTTTCCTCTTAAATTCCTTCAATTTTCACACGCAGAATTTGATTAGGGCCAGGTGAATTGCCCTGAGACAATTTATTGGATGTGAAAAGGAGCCTAAAACGATCCACTTGATTTATTATTTAAACATTCTCACTTCATTCTGAATCATCTGTTCAGGATCCGAGTTCAGCTGCAAAAAACCACTGTGGACAAATTGATTTTACACACCCTCATTTGACATCAATCTCTCGCCACAAATTGAGGATCAGAATTATTATTTCCTCATGAATTTTGCATTATATCCCAACGAACACCCCCTTCTCGAGGGTGAGCAACAAATTGAAAGTTTTTCTCCCGAAGCGCCAGCGAATTTATCTGCAATAAATCTCAATTGGTGTCTTAAAGAGCATCTCTTACCATCCCCAATATACATTTTGATTCACAACTCCACTTCTGCCAAAAGGTACAACCGCCAGTGCGGCTCCATAGTTTTGCGAGAATTCACTGATCGGAATTTTCCGTGTGGCTGAGAAAAGTGGGGAATTAATAATGAATGAAGGAGGAGCATTTTACGATATTGACATGATGCCGGTGTTCCAGCATTCAGAACAAGTGGCTAGTCTTTTGGGGTGAATCCTATGGATTATTCGGCGGAGGAAGTTCTTCTTCTCCGCTGACTTGAATCCACTCAGTCGAATGCATGAATCACATGCACTTCCACTGCAGTCAGCTAAATATTTTCCCATCGCCTTTCGCTCAAAATCCACCCCCTCGTCAGTTTCCCTACGTGAGGTGATGTTTATTGAAGAACATTGGTGATAATGTTGTTTACTCAACGTATACCTAGCTATTTGCCTACAACACTGAATCAATTCTGCATAGCGCTCACTGTAATTTTCATCCAGTGAAAATTATCCTCCGTTTCCATGGTTTATTATTTGTCAGTCAGTGCAACTCCACTTCCTCATCGTTTTGAATTGTGCCAAATCTGCACAAAAGTGTACATGAGGAAAACATGCGATGCCTTCTAGTTCATCAAAATATCTATTCCAGATTACAATTATACAACAACATAACTTACACCTGCACGAAGAAAATCGTTTAGAGTGACTGAGATATAATGCAAAATTCTCCTATTGTGAATGCTTACAAAGGGCCTTGAGAAATTGTACACAAAGAAGCAAAAGTTTCATACGAAAGATTTAAATACGACAAAAAACTTCAAAGTGTATTAATAAAAAAAAAAACCAAATTCTATGAATCGACTTAATTTCTGTTTGTTGCAATGCTTTATTCAATATATTTAAAAACTTTTTATGTTGATCCATGCATATTTGAATGGAATTTGATAATATACTGAAAATACGTAATTCAAAAGTAGTGTAATTTTTATTGATTTCCTTATCTGATGAATACAAAAAATACAATTTATTTTTAAATATTGATTTTAATTAATCTACAAAATGCACAAAAATGACTATTGAAACATATTTAATAAGGTTGATAATTGTATGTAAAGCAATTTTTTGGCCCATTGAATGGTTTTACACAGTAAATAAATGGGTTTAAATTATATTTTATTTTCGGCATGTGGCAGAGTGAAAGAATGCCACGCGGAAAGCACGATTTTCCACTTTCACACTTTCCACAGCGGACGGGAACATTTCACACGGCGGAAGGTGGAGAAGGAGGGGATGGCAAAGCCAGAAAATTAATTAGAAAACTTTTCGCCATTTGCCATCTGCAAATGTGTGAATTTGACGGAGAGCACGTGGACTTGCAGTGATTCACTATCGCGCGACTTTCTTTCCGCAGGCATGGCATATCGCGCTGAGGATGCGAAAATGCTCTCAGATGGTCAACTGGGCAACTGAAGGCTCTTCCAGGGCAGGTGCTGTGACGCGGAATTAGGTCCTCTCACGGCGAGGAGAGTGCAGGACACGTGAAAAATTTGTATGAATGCCAACACTGTGCTTGTGGCTCGCGTGCAGAGAAAAAGTTGTTTCTCGTGGTGTGAATAGTATAAACGCTAAAAATAATTTAAAATGGATTTCAAGTTTGGTGTTGCACCACTCGTGATACTTTTGTACCTGCACTCAACGCTGAGAACTACCTCGTCGGAAGTTACAGGTGAGTTCATATTTGAAATTTCTTTTCAATGTGAAAGGGAAGAGGGCATCGGGCTCCCCCTCGAACATACACTGAATAAATTTGCTAATTAACGAGCTCCGACCACATAAAGTGCTCCTCCGTTCTCGCTCTTTCCCGCCCCAACTATTCTGAAAATTTCCACCCGGGCGAGATGGTCAGATGGGAAGTGGCTCATAACATGAAGAGCTTGTTAAAGATCTCACCTCAAAACGATATTAATTGCACTCAAAAAGCTCATTCTCACGAACGTTGAACATATTGCTCCTGAGTTTAGTAAGTTTCATGTGTGTCACTATCTTCTTCTGACCATGTCAACAGATTAACAAATAATAGTTTAAATGCTAAACCACAAATCTAAGTTCTGTGCTCTCCCGAAAGTCATCAGTTTCCGTTTGATTTCCCAAGAATATCCTGTCAAAGTGACTCCCAACTTTTCGACAACTTGTCTTGAGGAGTCGTAAAGATTTATCTGCTGGAGAACAGGGTGTTTTGCTCATTGACTCTGACACTCATCCTAATATGTATATGCATGTGTAAGGGGACTCCAAAGATTTCCAGTTTCACCAATTTCTGCCCCTCAACTGGCACACAAAAAGGAGATCGGATATGGTGTGAAAATTCATTTGCCTGCCAGGAGAGACACTGTCTTGTGGTGTGAAATCCCACCCACACTTTGTTTGCTGTCTATCATGCACAGAAACTCCCCGGAGTCTCGCCGGGGGGATGATCAAGAATTGCAAAATTTGCATTTAGTGTGAATGGGTGGTGGAAGGAAAGAGCCACATCAATCAAAACAAGACTCCAATATTGCCTTGTTTCCCACCTCGTGTTCTTCGCCCCGCCGGAGTTTCTTGCAAAGGTCACCGTTGGCCTCCTCTGGCCCCTGTGTCTCAAGGGGAGCGGATGGAGGCGGCCTCGTCGAACATGAATGTGCCGGAGAATTTAATTATTTATCGGTGAGATTTATCGGGGTGAAATCGCCTCCAAACTTCCCACCCTTGAACTCTATAGCAAAATAATGAAGTTTTGACTCTGAGGTCAAGTGTCATATGTGTGGCGGATGATTTTCTGTGAAATGTTACATCAGAGTTGGAGAGGATTTCCCAATAAATGATTAACGATGCCAAAAGAGGGAAATCGCTAATAGCTCTAATCGTTCTAATCCACAAATGGAAGTGTTGTGGCAAGCGAAATGAGTATCTCTGAGATCTCTTGCGAAATAAAAAGTGCGAGCATTTTCAGAGTTAATAAACCACTTAGAAAAGTCACCCAAAAGAAAGTTCAAATCTACATTGATATGGAGTGTTTTCATCTGCTGCCTCATCGTTATCTTTTATCTAGAGGTGCGTTAAATTGGAGTGCAAGTCATGGGTATTCATGTGTGCGTCAAATAACAATCAGCTCTTATGGAAATTTATTGGAAGAGACTGGAGAGCAAATGAGATTTATTTGCATCTCTGCCTTGCTCATAGGATCTTCGGCAGTGGAATCTGCAGGCCGCTGCTCATGGAGTAAATCATCCCTTGTGAAAATAAGCTCTCTTCACGTGGTGCGGGACGATAGAGGGCATAAAAACACATTGAGCATATTTGTGGATGGGAATTTGATGAAGCTCTCCTGAGGGTTTGGCGGGTGGCAAAGTTTGCCACTGCAGTCGCTCTTATGGAATTCCAATATTGAACATTATCAAAGTCACAAAGAGTGGGATGGCGTGTTTTGGATGAAAATCCCGCTACCAAAATTGGGGTCATATTTAAACGGTGATGCATGAAATTTATGATATTTTGAGGTGTGTGCCACATAGTGTCGGCACAGTCTGAATATATGATTGCGAACTTAATTCATGTCACATGAATTCATTGATAAGCCCTCCTCTGGGGCGAGACACCCCGCGAATATTGCGAATTATACAAGTCATGGGCATAGTTTGTATTCAGAAAAGCACCAAAGTGCATCAGTAAGCACAAAATTTATATGGCTCATGTGACAGAGGATTAAATTTTCATCCCAGCACATATCTTCATCTCTTAACCAGATTTTCAGTTTTTCTCTCCATTGACCTCACATATTTTTCCAATTTCAATCATTTAGTCAAATAGCGCAACGTGACATGAATACCCTGAATACCTGTGCAGATCGTGTGGAGTCTTTATCATTCGCTCACCGAGAGTATAGGATTGATTTTACAATAAACTGAATTCTGTTCAACACTATAATATAATTGATTTAGAAATCAATAGATGCGGATATTCGTAAAAAATAGACAGTGTACGAGTTCTTTCCATGTGTTGTAACAATTTATCGATTCCTGTTTTTCTAATTTTCTATATGAATGGAGAAAAATTTCAGCAATATAGAAAATTGTGCTGAAAAGCATTTCTGCAATGAATCAGTTGAAATTCTTCAGCGAGAATCCGATGGACAATTGATTTGAATCCATCTCGGTCTATTGTTGTGATTTCTCATGGATTCCCCTAACAATTCAATAGGGAGGGTTTATCTTTTGTGACTCAGCTTCGGAACGATAGAAAAATGGCATTGAAAGCATGTTGCATTGCCTCGCATAGTGTGTAAATAATCACATTTATGGATTTTGTGTGCAAAACAGTTCATCTCAGTCCATAATGTTGGCGTCTCAATTCGATAGTCTGGGAAAATGCAGTGGCTAAATATTGTTCTTAGGAGGGGTTGAAACGGATGAGAGCCACAATGGATATTTGCCTTGGATTTTGCACTAAAACGAGCAGACAATGTGAATTTCAATAAGGTGGAATCTCTTCTCATGCAAGATCATATTGAGAGAAATTCCTGCCACTCAGTCACACCATTCAGTCGGTGTTTGCCAGAAATTCGGGAGCAGATTCCCAGAACCAGAGCGCCCCATACTCGGAGGTGAAATGAAGTGATTGCGGAGACCGTGTGCTGGGGATGAGTCAAGGATTTTGGTGGCATTTCACTCTCCGGGTGGACTCACTGTTTTGTTGAGCAAATAAACTTGGAAGCCACCAATTGCGGAAGATTTTCCAATGGGGTGGAAATCGCACAGGCTGACGAGAAGCAGGCCAAAATCTCAATCACATTGTATTGCACTTTGCATGACAGTGATTCATCCGATGCTATTCGTCCGGAAATGCACGGTGGACATGGCAGAAGAGTTCGATATACTTCTATATACTCTTTGGTCAATATTTTGGGCAGTCAACATTCAAATGAAGCAATTTTATCAAATTATACCTCGAAATTGTATCTTTGCAACCGTCAGTATTTGATAGATGATCGCTTTGCCATGCGACGCGGAGCTCCGAGTTGGAATGCATGTACGGCTAGACGGGCTAGACAAATATAATTGGTTCAATTGCCTATCTAACAGACTTGCAAGGGATGGCGACTGTGGGGGGGAGCGTTCGGAGTGTGGCGAAGGAGGAAAAATATGCAAATTTCGGTGCAAACGGGAGGTGAACGCGATTTTGAGGCTCGTGAAGGAGATCGCTAAGAACGCTCACTTCTCGATTGTTGCATGACAAAATTACCTTCAATTTGTATCTCCTGCCACCCTTCGGCTCGCCAGTGAGGCCGGGATTTGTGTGCTCACAAACAAAATGTGTTGTGTGGCCAATATATCTCCTGGCATTCTTGGAACAAGCCGAACACGACCAGAATCGAACATACTCTCTCCCACATTGGACACATTACCATGTTCACATGTTTCCGGACGAATGAAATTCCACCCACAGAGGGTGGCTCCTCGGCAACAACAAATTATTCACCCTGATTAGCATTTGCTAATATAAGTGACGTGAAGGGAAATCGATACTCATAAAATGTTTCGTCTATCCCTTGGCCTCTCTCACGCCATGCCATCCTCTGGATTTTGGCCACAGAGCCACTCTCTTTCTCTCTCTCTGTTCGGCTCACGTTGAGAAAACCACCCGGCAACGTCTTGCAAAATGCAACATTGCAATTATTTTGGCTGATGTTTGGCGCCAAAAATTATTGAGGTCATCCTCGAAACGTGAAAGCCTTTTCCTTGGCAAACTTGGGCAAACTCTCACTTCCTGCCATTTCTCCACAGGTCGGCGAGAGAGATTTCATTTTGCACACACAGGGGGTGAAAATCTCCAAAAATTCACCCTAGAGTTGGAAGATTATAAATTTAAAATGCAACAATGCGGTTACATTTACCAAAAGTATACAAGTATGGTTTGCAGCTTCAATCTAAATGATAATTCAAAAGCTTTTTCCCATCTGCATTTCTGCAGGGTGGTATTTTGATGATAATCTCTTTATTTTGCGAGCCAACATTATAACCTTCTGGCGGTAATTGTGAGTTTCTTTTTAAATTCTCACAGCCGTGAAAATTATTGTGCGGAAGTTTTCTCCGTGACCCAATTTGAATAGAAACTATTTCGATAAATTGAAAGATTGTTCAGCATATGAATTTATTTGAATACAAAAATATGTGAAGTCAATAAATTTGGCTAAAAATCAGAAAAAATTGGCACTCGCGAGTTTTTCTGCACATGGTCAGGCAAACACTAGAAGTGAATCCTTTCAAATGGTTATGTTTTTTTGGGCATTGCAATAAATTTACATGAATTATTTCCAGCATTCAAACCCGGAAAATTGATTAAATTACTAAAATGTATATTTTTTCTGCTCTTTCGAATTGCGTTTTATTTAATTTACCGAGGAAAATTAATTCAATGTGTTAGGAGACCTGTTAGTAAATCACACTTATTGAGCATTTAAATCGGTTGGAATATTTATACATTTCCAATTAGTATTCTCGTGGAATCAGTTTCACTCTCGATACGAAACTTTGGTACAGGTTCATTTGAAATCACTTTATCTCTAAATTTTGAATTAAGAGATGCAAACTGCAGATAGAAAAATTCACTATCACCCCTTGTCGATAGAAGAAGCCACTGAAGAAGCTTTTAAACACGCGACTGCTAAAACATTTTGTGAAAAATTCATTTTTACACAGTTCTTGTCTTCCTCCACCCTTAATGTGGAGCAATTAGCAATAAATAAAACAGTGTAACTTTCCCTTTGGTGAGGGTGGTGAAAAAAGACTGCGAGCAACTTCCTCTGGGAGGAAAACTCTCACTGCTGGCAGACACTGTTGATATAATGGAGAGAAAGTGGTGGAAAAATTCAAAAGAATCCAAACATAAACATATTTCATTCATTTATATACATTTCCTGATGAAAATTAAAATTTCTACCTTTATTCAAATAATTTCGTGTATCACAGTAAGAATTTCTGCTACAGTTTTATTGAATTATTATTGTATTTTTCGCTAAAACAGTCATATAGAAAATGTTTTTTTTTACAATCTCTTGAAAATACCTGTCCACGACAGAGGATAGCGAATGATTATATTAAATGTGATTGAAATAGAATGTTTGGCTTCTGAGTTGGTATTGAAGTAAAACTAACAGAAAATGTGTGGATGAAAAATATTTTGAGCTACACTAAAAAAACATAAATGCGCAGAGTACTAAAAGATATTCCATCAATTCTGATATAGAACTGCACACGGTTTTCAGACACTATGCGGTGTATTTATAACATCAACTATATTTATAATATCAATTCGAGTTTCACAATAATTTGGCAGAAATCATAATGATTAATATTTTCGTTCGCGAGAATGGAATTATGAAATGGCAGATGTAGTCCATTCTGGAAAAATATTCTGTATTCATTGTCAATTGGTAATAGAAATAGTTCCTGTAGTGTTGAAACTTTTTGGCAAATAAATATAAATAGGAAAATATGAGATGGAAACTTTTATTCACCTGATATTTTGTACATGAACTCAAGCCGTGAGAGTGTTGGAGAAGGAGATGTTTTTGCGAAGAATGTGAGCATATGCAAAAAAAACCATTTGATGGATGAGAGCTCTTCTTCTGGCCATTCTGAGCCCTATTTTCTGCACTTAGAAAGTTTTGCCCGAAAATTGCAGCCACGTGATAGATGATACTCTGTTGTGTATTCAATCAATTAGAGATAAAGAAACCTCTCAAAGACAGTGCTTTTGAAACAAAGAATAGACTCAGAGAAAAAAAAATTGAAAACTTTAGGAAAAGAGCCCAAAAGTTTTAATTTCCTGATGGATGGGAGTTTTCTCTTACCATTTCATCTTTCGCTTATTGCCTGGCAATACCTGTTTACATCAATCTCAAACCTCACTGAGAAATCTCAGCAATATTAATCTGCCGCTCTTGCTATAACATCACAACCCTAATGTAAATTGAAGAAATCATTCCTTTCACTGGTGATGTTTGTCAGAGCTCATTCCACGAAACATATATCAAAATATTGCTTCAGAAAAATTAGAGAACGTCGAACGTCGGGTGACTTTGAAATAAAATCTCCAGGAAATTTGTTGAAAGCGATAAAAGTTGATTGAAATGTCTTGAAGTCATGCTGATCTCTTTCCCAATTGACAAATGATGCTCTTTGGGAAATTCTGTTACAATGGAAAACTCATTCTTTGCCTTCTTTTCAGCAGTGGATCCAAAGTTCAGTATGCCTATAAATAATGTGACAGTGCCCATCGGAAGAGAAGCCATCCTCACATGCGTTGTACAAGATCTGGGGAGTTACAAGGTAATGATAGCAATCCATAAGAGAAATTCTCGTAGCAAGCGTATTAATTTATGAGTACAAATTGACATTCTTGGTGTAATTCCTCAATATTGTGATAGGTTGCTTGGCTTCGAGTGGATACACAAACAATCCTCACAATTCAGAATCACGTAATAACGAAGAACCATCGCGTGGCGATCGTCTGGGCTGAGAGAAGAACGTGGCAGTTGAAGATTAAGGACATAAAGGAGTCGGATCGAGGATGGTACATGTGCCAAATTAACACTGATCCCATGAAGAGCCAGATGGGTTACTTGGACGTCGTTGGTGAGTAGATATTTCACTTGAAACTGTCTTTGAAAGTGGGAAAATCATCTGAAGTGAATCTTCAACATAAGATGAAAGCTCACATTTGAACAACTCTGCTCAATACTCAATGAATTCAACTACTTGGGTGTACTTGACTCTGTGACTCTGTCGTCCCTTGCATCGCTAAAGCCTGTATGTCGCCGTATCTGATTTTCGGAGCTTGATCGGGTGGTTGGCGGCGGAATTCCCGCCAGCAAAGTGTCGATTTTTCCTAACGGAGAGACAAGGGGGTGCACCGGTTGCGAGTGGGCAACATTGAAACGATTGAAACAGTGGTGCTCCTGTGTAATTTAAATAATAGAGTCGGTCGATGAAAGGCGCCGCCGGAAGTGAATGACTGCGAAGGGTGGGCTCCCGACGTCGTGCCAAATCCCCCACCCATCAATGGCGACCCCTAAGCGGTTGAATACTTTATTTTGGGCGGAGTTCGATTGTTTGTTCATTTATTTTTGCCGCAACGTGCGACTTCATGCACAAGGTGGAATTTTTAACCTCCAAATCTGCCACCCTATCGCGTCGCGGAAGACTATGGAAAAATCACTCTGGCGAAGGGGTGAGCGCTTGTAATTCCTCTTGAATAATTTACTCATTTTGCGGGAATTTTTATGCAATGATGCACTCGTTGTGGGATTGAAAATGCTTCCCCGCAAAGGGTCAAATCCACTCTCACTCTTCCAATATGTGGGCGAATACAACTTTTTCTCGGTTGGGAAGGTTGAACTGAAAATTTAATATGTATTTCACATGATGCTGTTCATGCATATTTCTCTGTTTAATGCATTTCCACTCTCATATTGCCTAAAATGGCAGATACACATTTTCACTTGATCTTTGTTAATTAGATTTTTTGCTGAAATTAACATTCGTCATTAGTTTGTAATTTTATCCATTCGTCTTTCATATGGGGAACCTAAAAAATAATTTAATGCAACATAACGCGAGACACAAGCCTCTGTGAAATTAAAATAAAATAGTAATTCACATAATACAATATCTAAAAAAAAACTGAGAAAATGCAGGAATTTTCAGTGCCATAATTATATCATTTGCTTTGCCATCGAATATTATTAAGTGGTACATATACAAACATTAATAATCATGAACCGTGTAAAAAAAACAATAATTAAATTAATTTTACTTTACATATGCAAATCATATGAAACACAATTTTCAGCTCTTTCGTATCGCGTCTGGGTTTAATGTGTTAATAATGTTGTATGTTTTATAATTTCATAGCTGTAATTTTAATACACTTTTAATTGAAATCTCAGCTTGTTAACGCGGTCATTTCTATGGAGGAACAAATTAAAATTAAAATCACTATAAAATGTGCTGATGATCCTATTATGGTTTAATTCCTTTAACTGCGCCGCCACATGCTTTTGAGAAGTAATTTTGTCAGCATAATTCTTTATTTGTATTTTACATGGATATTTTTTGTAAAATAATGTTAAAATCAAAATTGTGGTAAAATTTAACATTTCAATACAAATCCATATTGCTGATTTCCTCCCTGAAATTTGCCCAAAGCAATAGATATGAAAAGCCCGGCAATTATCGCGTTGGGAATTTAGTCATTTAGCACATTGGCACTTTTCACATGCGACAAACATCCCACTAAGCGAAAATGTTGTATCCACGTCAATTTATTTGCCATACGACAAAATTTTCATATGCTTTGTTTATTTTAGTACTGGCAATGGCAAAGAAAGAGATTCAAACTCGATAATGCAGGACAATTTGAAGCCTGTGCGAAATAGGCATTTTGCGGAGGTGTCTATAAAATTTTCGAGGGGCCTCATTGACAGGCCTGGGGGCGGCTGGAATTACTGGAGTGGTGTTGTGGTGTGGAAATAGAGAAATTAATGAATATTCATTTGAGACATGATGGACATTCACCATGGAACTCAATTAGGCGTATTACACCACATGGCCGCATGAATCTGGGAATATTCTCATGTCAATACCCCAATCATCCTCCACATGAACTTCCACTTCACGACTATTCATCGACAATGGGCCTGTGGGGTGGGGAAAAGAGTGATTGGCTGAAAATCCCGCACTTTTTCTATGTCGCGCTCAGTAAAAATTTTCCTTTCGGCACTGGTCTACGCGATGCTTCTCCCCAGATTCTGAGGGCGATTTGAAGTGCCAATAAAAGCACAATATTCCTGCAAAATTTCGCAAGCTCTACCGAATCGCGGGTCGACATTGCGCTGCTCATAAAGCATGTAGCATTCAAATTCCATGAAACATTGCGTGAAATAAATATTCAATTGAAAGCCTTCCGGAGTGCAATAGAGAAATGCACCCACTTTCATTTCAATGTTCTATTGAGACATTTTGTAGTTTGCGCGGAAAAAGCGGTCGGACAGAGAATGAAAGAACAACAAGAGTGTACGGGTAAAAAAGAGCTCAATTCAGTGGGGTATTTTGATAAATGGTCTCTCCCCACCATTCAATTGGAAATTGCTGTTGATGATTGTTGAGGGGCTTTATTTATGCCGTCCACTGGACAAATCTCATCCCTCACCAGCGCGCCCGAGACTGTACTGATGTGCAGTGGTCAGGGCAAAAAATGACATGGAATCGTGGCTTCCAGATAGACGTGCGAGAACAATGGGGCGACATCAAATCACGAGGGAGCTATTGAGAGCTTTGGGAATTTTCTCAAGCTCTCCCCCATGTCAGCTTTCGGTACATTTCCTCCCCACAATTTGCTCCCCATATGTTGTGACAACGGCTTATCGGATGGCATATACAGGAGATTTTCAATGATGTGTACTTTCTTCCTTTCCACGCAGTTCCGCCGGATATTTTGGATTATCCCACGAGCACGGACATGGTGGTGAGGGAAGGCAGCAACGTGACACTGAAATGTGCGGCCACCGGATCGCCTACGCCAACAATTACCTGGCGCCGAGAGGGTGGCGAACCTATTACGCTGCCCGGAGGTTCCGAAGGTGAGTCAGGATGCACTTTAACAAGCGCTACAATTCAAAATTTTGAATCTAACCATGAAGCTTATGCTTCGTGGCCAAGTTGTGTGTTGTCGGCGGAAGAAAAAGGGGTTGAAAGAGTCTTGAAATAAGGCTTTTACGACGACAGGAAGACACATTGAGATGGAATAATGAATATGGAATTGAAATTCAACAATAATTTGCCATAAAGCCGCCGCTGATGGTGGGAAAGTAGGTTGAAATATTTAGCAGGTTTAAGAACTGCTGGGTAAAAACTGGTCGCAATTTTATGGACTTGGACAAGGATATTGTTAATAATAATAAAATGTCCTACGCGAGGGTGAAGGCGATAATATTTTATTGATGACGAACATCAATTTGCAGGCCCTCGACGGAAAAAGGGGCCACTCTGGGCCACCCAATTTTCTTGGATGGAAAATGTGGGACACTTTTTCCCTCCAAACTAATGAAATGGAGTGTCTTTTAATGCAATTTTCCCCTTCCTATCGCACATCGCGGATATAAAGAAATTTTATCGCCAGTTTGACGATGACCAAAATCAGTCTGCGGACTTTGACGCTCGGGTCTCTGGCAAAGTGGCAAGGAATTCCGTGACGCGTGTATTGGACTCATTAATTGCCAATGTGTTGCTATAAATAATAAAATTGGCCTTTTTATTGTTTCCTCTGTGCGGTGAGAACCCCAAATAAAATTTATTCATTTCCTAATCCATAATTGAGTGTTTAATGACTCCACGCTTGGGGTTGGGACGCTGTTGATGGTGACATTAAATCCAATAATTAATTATTGGGTGGTTTGTTTTACCCCCACGTTTCTCATGGCTCTGCCGTCACGACAGAATTTTCTTTTCCCCAAACTTTGTAGATAACAATTCAGCTTTTCTGAGTATTATATAATGGGATTGAATCTATGGCACTAGCAACTCTACTCTATGCTCGTCTGCCAAGCGTCTGGGAAAGGCCTTCGATGCCAATCAAGAAGGCTCACATAAAAGTTTTCCATATGATTCCTTGCACATTTTTTACCTTCACGCTCATCCGCCTGAAATTATATTTTTCTAGTGGGGTTGTTTAGACAATAATAATATTGCAGAAAATGTAATTTCCCCTTTCTCATCAGTGTCACGTGCAAGATTTCCCATATCGCTCTTTTGCTCCGCGTTCGCGCGTGCTTTCATTGTCAATAAACAATTCTCTTTTTCGCCTTTTTCCCCAAAAGCACACCCCCACACAAGAGGAGGGCCGAAGCGTGGCGAAATGCCTCAGCAAACCGCTGCACTGAACTACCCCCAAAATCCACTTCGCTTCGTGCCCCAGTCTAATCCTCCGTGTGTTATTAAATTACACCACACCCTTGTATGCTATTACACTTATTTAATTACACCCTCGAGCGGGCAGCAATTGAGAGAAATTATCCGGAAAGCGCCAATGGGAGGTATCAATAAGTGGCCTCTTGTCTCACACTTCAATTGGCCTTCCGGGAAGTGCACAATCATCTGCATGCACTGTAATTGCATTTCAATTCTGCAGCAAACTTTAACTTTGAAGTGCTTCCGCGAAAAATCGGAATGTTTGAAAAAGCATTTTCAAACATGATGTATGGAATTAAGTAACTATGACGTAAAAGAATTTGAAAACATATCCTGTGAATCTGTTGTGAAAAAATAAATAATGTTGAGGAGGACAAGTTTCTGAGAAGAAGAACATAATCCCTCTAATTCAGTTACAACGAGCTTTATTAACATCCTGAATTAATTACGCGTCAAGAAATGATTATGACAATTATGATATCATTTATTTACATCACCTCCATCCCCTATTCTTCTCACTTGTGCGCTCCATCCCTATGAAAAGAGGGTGTGTTTGAGGATGAGATTATTAGGGTAATTTGGGGTGATGATGGAGTGGAAATGGGGCGACAGGAGCAAAGCTCACGTCTGGGAGGGTCGAAGTGAGACATGGAAGATTCAATCACTGCCAGAATTGTTGTTAATTTTCCACGGTGAAAAATCATCGAAGGCCAGGAAGGTGGAATGAATGGGAGAACGATGAGAACTCAATTATATCTAACGCATTATTCTCTATTATTCCCTATAGTCTTGAGTGTGGAAGGATCAACATTCACCATTTCACGCGTGAATCGATTACATATGGGCGCCTACCTGTGCATAGCCTCAAATGGAGTTCCGCCGACCGTCAGCAAAAGAATAATGCTCATAATTCACTGTGAGAAATCTCTTCGTTTGTTTTTACACTTGCAAAATACACTCTAATTCATTGTCTTTCTTGCAGTTCCACCGATGATTTGGGTGCAAAACCAGCTCGTTGGCGCTCTTGAGGGACAAAAAATCACCCTCGAATGTCAGTCCGAGGCATACCCCAAGTCCATTAATTACTGGACACGTGAAAAGGGTGAAATCGTTCCGCAAGGTAATTCTGCGGCAAAGAAGGAGTGAAAGTGTGGAAGGACACATTTAGCTAGAAAGAGATGATGTGATTTTCTGTGCCTCATTAAAAAGAGCACCTAATTGCCAATATCTATAGCCAAAAATTGGATATTATGACTGATTTTTATTCTTTAACAAACTGTTTTGAGGGTGACATCAATCAAGAGACTAAAGTCTCGATGGAATTTTTGAAGGGACACACCAATTAATTAGGCTTTGATAAATTTGCTAATTGGGTCTAATTAGGGTGACTTTCTAATCATTCATAAGAAAAAATGTTACCATTCTATTATTCTACAGTTTTTTTTTCATTTTTTGAAGCCAAACAAATACAATTCAACCAGGAATATCGGAAAAAAATTGTTTTTCTTATTGCGTTAGTAAAAACTTCTAAATTTGGCTTGAATTGAATAAAAAGTATTATTTGCCAATACTCTTAAGTCTCTTGACCTCAATGCCTCATGGCGGAGAAGAAAGTGGTGGAAATTTTCCAGTGAAAGGGAAAATTGGTAGTCACTTAGGTAAAGAGAAAAATGTTCGGGGAAAAGTTTGTAATTTATTGCCGTTTTCTCTCCTCAACGCTTGAGGAGAATCTCCAGTCAATTGGAGGGTATATCACCTTGTAGACTCGTCATATTTATAATGAAGCCTCCGCAGTTTTTTGCTTCACTTGGCAGAGATAACGCGCCTTTTTGTGGCCTTTCCCCACAACTTCTTCACCCTCTTGTTCGCCAATTTGTATCACTTTCGGGCTGTCCGCCCTTTTCCCTCCCGCACTCCTCAGAATCATACCAGTGGAAAATGATGGAAGCATTTGCACCCTCGTCATTGCTCAGTAAAACGTTCACATCAAATCACAGGGACATTTCTTGTAAATTGATAATGATGATCGTGCGGAGTATTTCAGAAATTTCCCACCCAATAGTCAAGTGTGAAAAGAAGGTGAATGTCTGAACGGCACTCGAACGTGATTTGTGTCTCAAACGTCTTTTTCCTCGCAGTCTGGGTTTTATCTGCAGGCTGAAAAATATGTTTTGGCATTTAATTTTATTAGACGGAAAAAGTTCCTTGGCCGAGAAAAACATTTTTTGTCTGGCACAGAAGGTGTCGCAATTTGATAAGGAGTGAGGAAGGTATATATCTCAATCTTGTACATAATGACATTTTAATGCTTCGCCGTCCTTTCCTCACGGTCATGCCGGCTGTCCTGGAAATGGAGTTATGTTGTCGTCAACAGAGTTTAAAGAATTGAGGAATTGAAATTGCAATTTAATTGGCAGTGCAGCTGACAGATATTCAAAGCAAAATCCTGCTGAAGTTGTGACTGAAAGCCATCGTGTCTAAATATATGAATTCCGTGCCTTTGCAGCACGCACAAGAGTGCGTTTTAAAAGCCCCAATTGAGCTCATTATTGTGTCACTTTTGGTACATTTACTCTATTCCCAGCATTGCGGGAGAGCCTCCAATTCCTCCCACGAGAGTGGCCATCAATTAACATTCCGTATCAAATCCATTGGCATGTTGAAATTTCGCGTAATTCACATTAATTTGCCGACTCGCCCACCCCCTCGTTCACCCTCTAAATCACTGCGTATAGAATTCAATTGCAGTGTCTAAATGTGGCTCCAGCTGATGTTTTTGTAGCGAATAATACCGGCCGGTGATGCTTTTTATTTATTATTCAAATTATAAAACGTTTTCAACTGTCATTTTATGATCAGCATCATAATTATTCGACACTTGTCCCATTGATATTCCATCAGCAGACACTCTGCCACTCGGAGCTTCAAAAGGAAATTTAATGCTATTTGCCATCGTGCCGCGTGTTAAATTGGTTTTAGAGGATTTCGTATGCAACTAAACGGAAAGATGTTGAGCTGATTTTGTGAGGTGCATCGAATAATTCATTCGGCAAATCATTGAAATTGGCACAAAATCAATATATAAATGTTTTGATATGAATTGGATCATTGGGCACACGCGAATGAGATAAACAACAATTAACTCACTAATAATTCAACAAATCATCAGATCAAATATCAATGTTTCGCTATAGAATTTCAAACAACATTTATGTGACAAATTGGTAATTGTGCGGATAGTAATTGCTGTATTTAAATTGCTATTTTTCCTCGGAAAGTTTACAATGACAGAGACACATCATTTATGTTTTCCTATCTATTCAGGTGGTAAATTTGAACCTGTTCTCCTGGATAATGCCTACAAAGTGGTAATGAAGCTCAGCATAAAATCAGTGAGTCAGGCTGACTTTGGATCCTACAAATGCGTCGCAAAGAATAGTCTAGGTGACACAGATGGCACTATCAAGCTCTACGGTGAGCCTTTGACAAAATGTCACCAATACTGGATATTAAAAGCCAATGTTCAATATTCTAGCTATTCCACCGCACACCATCAGCTCCGGAGAGAGTCAAGTGGCAAGATCGCGAGGGAAGATGCTGAGGAAGGATGGCAACGGGCTTCTGGAGGCTAATACAATCGTCGACGGGGTCGTTGTGGATGGTGATGGTAAAAGGAGAGGTTGGACAATTGCACTGCGCGGTGTAGTTTCCAGCTCATTCACCAGACATTCTGCGCGATATTAATAAAGTGAAGGATGTTCTCCAACTAATGACATCTCCTTTCTCCCACAGATATCGCTCTCATGGGCAACAATGACGTTACTTATAGCAGTTCAGCTAGCATCAAGACACTACTCCACATCCTCGCCATTGCATCTTTCACGGTGACTTGGCGCTATGTCGCTCAACTTTGATGATAATTCCCAGCACGAGGATGCGGTGAAGCTCCGCAACAGTTGAATGTGTGTTTCCCCCGAAAGCTCCGTTTTGAATTAATTTTAGACGAGAGATTGTGTACATATTTTGAGGAATATATACGAATTGTTAGATGAACAATGCGATGTAATTAGGCCATTAAGACAAGCTGACAATTTTGCGTTCATAGAAATATTGAATTAATAAGTTTTCTCCACATCGCGAAGAGCTTTCGCGTGTGTGAGACATTTTTGATCTTGTTAGGTGCATCACTATATATGACACGTCACGGTGTAAAGTTCAAAGGCTAATTTAATTATGAAATACATATCATAAAAGGCATTTTTAGGTGAACAAGAGAGACTCCCATGAGAAAATGAGAATTTAACTATACTTTGTAAGATGTATCCTTTAAAATGAAACTTGATGTAGTTAAAATCTGAGGAATGCAGTTTTAAATGGGTTCTTCCCTGGGATGGGACGCTATTTGCTGAATTTAATGCAGGTTACGTAACGACAAGAGGAGGGGTATACGCTCTTCCACAAATACTTCCATCATGCTAAGAGATACCATTGCTTTCTCTCAATATACTCTGTATTTTTAAATTATTTCACCTTAATTTGTAGTATAGGTATTTTATACACAATAGTGTGATTTTTTTTCCTACAATATAGAGTTAAATTAATCTTATTATATATACTGTAAATTCTATGGAATTAACTAACAGTTAAGGAATTAGCTAATGAGAACCTCCTCTGTGAAGAAAACAATATTATATGTTCTAAAAGAGCCACGATATTTCCCCAAACAAATGCTACTGAATGACTCACGGAATTATAATGAGGAGAAAATGAGAGGATTGAATAAACGGATGATAAAAGCATAAATTTCGTAGCAAAAGCAAGTGAATCATTTTTTCATTTTAATATAGAATTACATCCCCTTTTATTATATTTGCAATATGAGGTGCATTTCCTCTTGAAATCAACAATCCAGTATCTGCCACGGGCATTTATAATTATATTATTTTCCTCATATTTTCCCATCACATATTCACTATATTTACAAATATTTCTCTACAACATTTACACTACAACTCTTTATTGGAATATTCATTTGTCATTTTATGCTTTCAAATCACAACTAATTTTTTTTATTACATCTCTTCATGTTTTGAGAGTCCCACATTTAGAGAAGAGATTTTATTTGTATAGGAATGGCTTTCAATTGGTTTACTTTAGGGGGGAAAAGCTCTTTAACGTTTTCACTTTTTATTTATTTACGTATATCATATAATCTGTATTTGAGGATAAATATTTTGGGATGAATATAAAATGAATTTATAAAATTAACATGTTTTCCAATGTTAAAGCGGATAAAGCATTTCACAAAAATTTTCAAATTATATTTAGATTTAGATATCCACTGTTTTTTTTCATTTATTTGAGCAACTAATTATAGATGTGACTCTATCATTTTTTTATCTGTGCTATATGTTTAATCTGATTTTTGTTTTTTTCTATTACTTCCTCACAATTAAATACGAATGCATTTACATATAAATTGCTCCATTGATAAATAACAATTTTTTTGTATTGGTGACCGCAGCAAAAAACATTGATTTTTATCTCCTTTCTCGCTATGATGTTTTATTTTTTTTTGTTAAATTGGGTGCATCGTCAAATAAAATTAAATGAGATATTTTTTTACACCAAACAAGAGCAAATAAAGATTTAATTGCGATGACAAATATGTAGTTTATGATTATATGTAGCATCGAAATCAATTTTGGCCAATCTATACGTATTAACATGGTTAACTGGAAAGAAATACTGTGTGATTGTGGGAATAGAAATCAATTATGAGATCCTAATTGAACTCCCTTACTTTATCCTCAAATAGGAAGATTAATTGAATAACGCGAAGCAACGAAATGCACTCAGAGATCAATTGAAAAATGATTAATTCTCCCCACATTTCGTCTGAGCTTTTCATCCTTCCCATCGTCTTACGACTCTTAATTCGCTTTCGATGATTAGACCCAAACTTCTTGCGCGCCAGTACTGTCGAGGAGGTGGAAATAATCCGGGATTTATCGGCGAATGAAGAGTATGGCGCAATTTTCAATTGAACTCGTGTGCAAAGAATTAATTATGTTGCCTCCAATCTCATTTCAATTGTCCATCATAAAGCCATTGGCTTCTTGTATCGTCTGCAATCGGATGCCACTGAATGCAATGAGAAGTACCACGAAGGTCCAATGCACTTGCGGCTGAGGAGCTCTTGACGCCTTCGATGAGGCTTCGTATTGCTCCTTCGTGAGCAGATCCACGTCCCGCTGCACTTCCGTGCTCGCCACACTGTCGAACCGATGGCGATGGTCTGCAGTGAGAAAGAGTCATGAATTACCCATCAATCAATTGAAACAGGAGAGAAAGTGGGAAAATGGGAGAAAAATGCATTACTTCTCGCCCATTATTTATCTTCTAAAGCTCCCAAAGAGCTTTAATTCTCGTCCAAGATTAACTGCGGAACGATTTTATCCCCTCTTTAAGTTCAGATAGTATCTTATGAACTGCAGTCTTACTTTATATGGATCTTAAAATAGTATATTTATTGTAGAACTTTTCGCAGTGCTGCCGAGAGTTTGAAAATGAAAAACTACATAAATACACAAAGAATTCCAAACTTAGACAATCAGTAAATAATTCTTTAAAGGAATATTTCCATGATAAATAGAGAGCTTTGGTCAATTAATTTGAGAACTTCGTACTCTGCAAACTTTATGAGTCATTCTAAATCTTAGCATAATTGGAAACTGACTATTTTAATGCTTGCTAAATTAAGCAACATGAGAAAACTTTACCATTTCACACAGCATACAACGTTTCAACATTAATTCCAGTTAATTTCCTGTAAAATTGAAAGCCAATCACTTTATCAAAGCTTACAGTATTCCTTTAACAGGTAATTAAACCTCAAATTACTGCATTATATCACACCAATTTGCCGTCATTCATGTCTATGAATTCACGCTCCATCAGGTGAATCCCTTTGAAATGCACTCATAACATCAACTTTGTCTATCTCTTCCACCGCCACTATCAATTGGGTGAAATGGTTCAGTGGCGGTGTGCAATTTTCTTCCGGGAAATGAATCGTGATTTTTCCACAATCACGCGAATGGAGTCGTTTCATTAATACAGTTGCATTCACCTTTGATGCTGTCTCTCGGCGTTTCACTCACAAAATTGAGCTTCCAGCTCGGCACACCCCTTTTAATCACCCTATCGTGAGCTCGTTATATCTGCAGTTATTATTTTCCCATTTCGCCCTCCTTCAGAATCCTCAACATCGCGATTTATGCCGTGATTAAATTCACTTCTGTATTGAGTCGCTTCCCATGAGATGGAGAGAATTGTTTGCGGAAAAATGGGCACCGGTGAAAGCACTTCTGGCGAAGCTTTCAGTGGTGCAAGTTGATTGATTGTCCGAGAAATACAAGGCAAAATTGTGCCATTACAGGAACATACTAATGCACAAAACTTGTTCTTATCACGAAATATTTCCTCGGCATTTGCTACAATTATTTCTGTAGGTTTAATATTTACAATCTATTGTCTTTTACATAGGAAATGCTCGGGGCTTACTGAACATTTATTCTAGTCGAATAGAAGAAGAATAACTTCCAATATCCGTTACATAAAAGATTCTTCATATACTTCAGACGTATGTAAATGTATGAGGAAGAGACTTATAGAGTGTTCGAATGAAGAATGTGTTCCATTTTCTTAAACACACTCTACCGTGCATATCATCTTGGTATTCATTCTTCGAATTTCATCTCTTATATTTGGTGTTTGCATTTAACATAAGGGGATCTACATATGGTATTTCAAAGGTGAAAATATATTGAATTAATTTAGGTAAATAGAAAAAAAATGAATCATAGATTTTTCAAATGATTCTTTGATTCCACACATCTCATGGTTTTCTATTGCGTATTGTAAAATTAAAAAGCTAATGTAGGTGAAATGCTGCCTCCCTTCAAAAACTGCTAGTCTCTCCAGAAATGCTTATCCCCGAAAGTCGCTCTATAAACATTTGCAGAAGAATGTGGGAGAAAGAGAGAAATGACAGGAAAGTGGAGGAAAAATAATTGATTACGAGAGAAGCTGAGCAAGAAATAAAATTCGATTTTGGATTAAAATTTATTGTTTGGCGTTCTCTCTTTGCCACTGCCAGAAACCAGATGCTTCCATGGGCCATCCCTCCATATCTTCTTCTCTCTTTCTCCCGCCATGCTGCTGACACATCACCTCTTTCCCGGCCATCCGAGTTCCAGGAGCCGGATGTTGTTCCGATTAGAATTTTATTCACTGCCACAGAATAAGCTCCGGCCGTTGATTTGTAGTACGTTCCTCGATCTAACTCATTTCCCGGTGAATATTTTGGCGAGCCGAGCGAAACGATGAAGCCCAAAAGAAAACCAGAAAAATTCACATTAGCCTCCATTCTCCTCAATAATTCAATTTTCATGCAGCGAGCTAAATTTATGGTAATTCTCACTGGTTGGCGCAAATTCATTTGGCTTCGATTCTAATTAAGATATCACTGGGTGAAAGTAGCAGTTGAAAGAGATGCTTTTTCCCTTCCCACGTCAGTATAGCAAAATCATTCTGAATATTCAGATTGTCTGGGGATGCGAATTGGATTCCTCTCACTTTCCCTTTCCCACAAAAAAAATCTATTAAAGTCATGACCTTTTGATTAATGACTTGCCCAAATTACCAAACATCTCCCTACCCTTTTGCAGGATGCAAAACATGGAAAAATCATAACTGAAAATCTTTTGCAAAACTCCGAGCGCAGGATTATATTCATTATTTAAATCATGATAAAAACAGCTATGATGAGGAATTTTCTGCCCTTACGAGATGAGTTGGACAGCGAAAAAATTGCTCAACTTTGTGTGCACAGAAAAAAAGTGATTTAAAGTTCCTCGAAGGTCTCCTGCACTCTCGCGCGCCCTTGTCGCCCTCGTAGATTGCTTATGATAAATGATTTAGCGTGCCATAAAGTAGAAACTTTCATTTTTTATTCAGTAACATCTCTTCCATAAACAGAAGGTGATAAAAGTGCATTTTCGCAGAGAGACAAAAATATATCGTGCTTTTTGCTTGACTGATGTTTCATAGCAATTTTACGGCTAATCTCTTATTCTGCTCCATCGGGAGCAAACATGAAAACACAACTAAAACTTTTTGTCTTATCAAGCTTCTTTGTAAAATCACAAAATGACATTTTGTTATTAGAGCTAAAATAAAATCCTAATGGAAAATTTAGTTCAAAAGTATAAATTATTCGCAGCTCTGACTTAATGGAGAGCTCCAATTAAGGACGTCACTTTGTTAATGGTCAGCCCTTAACTGGCCAGCATTCTAATAAATCTCTCTCAGCGGTTGGCACTTAATGATCCATTAATGGACATTCTTCCCACAAAATCTACCCTATATATAATTGGATATAATCCACAAATTTGGCTCTGCAATTATTCATAGTTGCTGTCCATTTGAGAAACACGCTACGAAATTTTCAATAATAAAATTCGTCAAATTTCCAATTTGAATTTATATTACTTTTCCCGTGAAAACACAAAGTGGCAACCAAACCACACAAAAAGCTTCTTTTTGGGGATTTTCATTAAATGTTTTGACAATGAAGAGGAAGAATTCCAATAAATTGCCTCGCTCTATGGCTATAAATTCAAACACCGAATCGCTCTGGAGGAAGTAATTAATTTTAATAAATGCAGGCATAATTGAATTTCATGGGGTGAAGGAGGGCGAGAAAAAAGGCATTCATGGAGGAATCTTCACATGGAGTGGCTGAAATCGCTCTTCTCGGAACACGTTCTCTGCATTCTAATCTCTCTGCATCTGAGAGTGATTTGATGAAGATGACTCGCATTGGGGCACGCTCAAGGGGGAACGGCAAAGGAGAAAAGGAGATCGTGTGGTGAGGAAAAAGACGAACGGAAAAATTGAAGAGATGCACACAAACCTTCGGGATTCTCCTTCTGCTGCTGAATTATCAATGGGGTCGTCTCAACTGCAGTCGTTGGAAGATATGTAGTCAATAATGTCGAATGCGGAATATCTGCAAGGAGAAGAGTTGCATGGTGAGAGGTCAGGATGAAAAATAGGAGGAAGAAGTTAAAGAAAATGTTATAAATACAACCGACACACCATCTATGCAGTCTCAAGAGGCAACTCTCGTATAAACTTCATGGGTGGGAAGCGAGGAAAGCTCACCCCAGAATCTCCTTCAAATGCCAAGTACTCGCATGGAGTATGGAATAGTCCCCCGTTCTTTTTTCACATCCCCAGTGAATTTAATTCGCATTCCAAGTGTAATCCAAATCACGTCTTTCTTGCGGACTAACACGATTTCGTACAAAAACACACACTAATTGAAATCGAATTAATAGCGTTGCCCATTTTCCGGTTTCCCTCCTCTTGTGTCCAACCCCCCAGGAGAAACTACAACCACTCAGTAATAAATTCAACAGTGTAGCAAGACAAAACAAGAAAAGAAAGCACAACTTCTTTGGCAACTTACTAAATTCACTTCTCCTTCCCTGGCAAAAGAGAATTGTTGAGATTTTATTCTCTTCTCCACACACAGTTTGTTGTTCAATAAATTGAAAATTGCCGACAATCTTACCAAAAGTGCACTCTTTCCAAAAAGTAGAAAAAACACAAAGTAGAAGAAATGCTCAACTGCTCCTAAGGCGCATTGTAAGTTATAGTCTCACAAGGAGCATTTGAAATTTACAAACACAAATTGTATGAAAGAAAGAATGAAATCTTCTTAATTTTATTGCATTCTCTAAAAGCAATCATTGTTCTTAATCTCAATTAAATTATTCCTACAATAATAAATACCACGATATAAAGTGTCATTTAATCTAATGGGTTTAAATAATTAAAGGGTTTATTCAACTTTTGTTCCCAATAATTACACCTTTTTCTACGTCCCAAATAAATTTTCATGCCAAGAGCGCAGTGTCTTTAATTACTTAAAAACGTATTTATTAGGAAAGTTTTGAAATGAGAAAAATTTACAATCAAACAGAAGTGAAATTATCCTGTTGAAAGTTTTATTGTTGTCATAAAACACTTGGAGTAAATCCACTAAAGCGGCTGCAATGAAAATTAACAGAAAATCTTTCATAATTGTTTTACTACTCTTCATCAACTTCATGCTCCACTAATAAAATTTATTAGCTCCAGAAGTTCAAACAATCTCCCCATCTTTCACTCAAGCGTTTTATTACTTTTGTGTCTGAAAAAAAAGATAGTGAATAGGGGAAAATGCATTATGGAAGATCATAACAAATACGAAAGAACACGATTCTTGATATAATATGAAATATCGTCGGATGCATTGCACTTAAGCGTGTGGAAAATCCTTGGGAAAATCTTTGTGAAATTGATAGTACAACAACCATGAGTTGCTTAATGCAAGTTTAAGCAGCAATATGAACACTGCGTGAATGCCAAAGACAAAGTTCATTTTCTCGAAGAAGCCACATCTGCAGAATCCAACTTGCAGCCTGCGTTCATCGATCAAAGAAAGCCACCGGGCGGAAAACGCCGGAGGAGCAGGAGAATCTTGTTCTCCACTCTAGAATGCGCATCGTGTGAAATTACTCCAGGAGACATGGATACACTTTCTCTTCCATCTTCCCGCCCAAAACTTGCAATATGAGAAGACTCGCAAGTGGGTTGAAGTGTCTCTACAATTGGACTTTTGTTCTGGTTTGTGGTTGCTGAGAAGCGCATTTTACCCACTTGCCGTCGCAAGATTGACTCATTTTCTATATTCTACAGTTTGGAGGATGATTTCAGATTCCTCTTCTCACTCCAGAAGCCACAGATCAGACATAATGCTCTTATTATGCATCAACAGACTTTTGAAGACTTTAATAACAAAATTATGTCTAGCTAAGTAATTAATTGCCATCAAAAAATGTCGTCTTTTGACATTTCAGTCTATCTCAATAATTTATCACCTTCTGCAGACCCGCCCCCAAAAATGCTCCACGTTGTCTTGTATGCGAAAGTTCCTCGAGTGCATATTTATGTGCATTATTTATCTGGAGCCGGAGATTTTCCACGGGACTTTCTCACGCCATAGGGATTTTCCTGGCACTCTGGAGTGAAAATTTTCAGGTTGTCTAGGGGTATTTTTCATCGCGTCCGACGATACTCAGTGTGGCGCCACAACAATAAAAAATTGAATTGAAATGTGAGAAAATGCTCACAAGTTTCTATGCATCACGTTTGGCGCGAGCCAGAAGCGCATTTCAGGGATGGTTTCAAGTCGTTAAATTCGATCCTTTGGCGATTCCCACCCCGCCAACCCACCGGACGCTCACGTACCCCATCGACGTCGATGAATAGAATTCCAGGCTCTTGTCTCACGCCCTCCGGCCACGGAGCATCTTGATGCATTCACAGCGACACCGGAACCCCCGTGAAAGTCGCTCCCAGAGCATTTTTCAACCTCTCCTCCTCATCCGAGGAAATCACCGAGCAAGCTCAAGTGTCTGTGTGACTGAAATGAAAAATAGCACGAAAGCTCCCACTTCGGCAACTTTGCCCCACAAGCACACACTTTCATACCTATACATATATGTAGGTATGGTTATTTTTTTTCGGCGAGAGATTTATGGCATGAAATTTTCAATATCCACATTTTGATGCAGCAACAAGGATTTATCGTGAAATCATTACACCAGAATTACTACTCGAAACTGTCACTGAAAGCTTTAGCAAGTTGGGCATTCAATTCTGGAAAATTGTAACAATAGTTGCAATTGTAATTCATACAGGAAAGCTACAATGATTAGCCCCTCTTATTGTGCTTTTTGAAACTTTTACTGCACTTTCACTTTGTTTAATGCAGTAATTCCTATGCATTTATGTTGGTAAATTTTGCGGAAAGCTTAAGTAAGCACGATAAAAAACAAATGAGTTTTCACATTGTAGAAAAAAATCCACAACTTCCGGCAAATTTATCTTAAGTTAATTGAGGAGTTTTCTTCTCCCTTGCCATGGACCACAAAATAAATTCTCAATTTGCACAATTAAGACACATTGAGTGAATCTTACGGCATAAATTTCTTTTCCCTCTCTTCCTTTGGCATGTTAGAGCACTAAAATAATTGACCATAAATTTGTGTTTACTGTATTAGATGTGAGAGGGAAGAGGTGTGTGGCTCCATTTGGGTGAAGCTCATTGAATTGCATAGTGCAATAGAAATGAATGTGTGAATAAAAAAAAATCATTGAGCTCATGCGAGAGCGACAATGCACCATGATCTTGATGGTCTCTCGGTGCAGTGAAAAGGCGCTTTAGCAGAAAATTAATTTTCCAGTGTCGGCCAAATGGTAGAAACAAGCGTTGAAGCTCTGCCAGAGGCTGAGGGAGTGCTTTTGGGAAAAGAACGGTGCAATAGGGGCAAAATTGCAAATGGGATTCATGAAGGCATCACGAGTGCATCTGGAAAAACAATTTCAGATGGCGGAGCTTTCGACAGGGCCACTTGGAGGTGGGTTTTATGGATGGGGAATGCGCCTTAATTCACCACTCGGAGGCGACATTCGCATCGTCCTATGTATAATGAATGATTATCATGATGTAGTTTAGAGCCAGTATTATTCCACTCCTTGTGACCACCGCCAGAGGCAAAAGTTGCGTCCCACCACCTCACTCCCGAGCGCGCATTCCTGCTCCCGCTGGGATGGCGAGTACAAGTATGTGTATGTATGCGGGAAAGCTCTGTTCGTCTATTTGATGCGCTCGTTCCTTCTACGCCACGCTCATGCAGAGTAATCGCAATTATGGATGGTTTAGTGGGGATTATTTTCAACAATTTTGTAATACTAAACTTCGCTATGTGTACTTTTCCTGCTTTTATATATTTTGCATATTTCGCCCATGAGCGGGAAGAAACTTTAAACGTTTTCACCCCTCGAGATCCCATAATTTTAGATGTTTTACGGCTTCATCGTGTGCAGCATTTTCTCTGTCTTTCCGAGTGCAACCAGAGTTGATATGATGCAGAGATAAGAGCTAAAGAACGATGCTTCAAGAAAGTTCCATGCGGCTACTATAAATTCAATAACTCATTCTCAACGAGGTTCTCTTATTAAATGTTACATTCCTAATATCATGACAAACAAATCGGATAATGTGCTTAATTTATGAGTTGAGCGAAGAACAAGTCTGAAATACAATGTTTGCCATCTCGGATAACGTCACTTTCATCGTCAGAATTTTAACCATTGTCGAGAGGTGATGCTCGCGAAAGGGAATCTCCTCGGCAGCTTCTCGGAGGGATTTCAGGCAAATGAGTTCATTCCCTGGGCGACATTTGCCTGCCACTTCGACATGTTTGCCAGGATAATTGAGGTGTGCGCGGGTCACTCCCACAGTGTCCCAGAAACGTGCTCAAGAGCTGAGATGTTAGTGGCTAATAAACAAACAATAAACATGGAGCTTCAGCAGATAAAAGCTCTCAGCAGCGTTTGTCGCAAAAATTGTTACTATTTTTATTTTGCTCATGGGACCACCCATCGACAGTCTCGAGGGTTTCAGCTGGAGCTTCAATGCTGAAAAATTCACGAATGCATTTCCCACCCCCGCACCGTCTATTATTTATCGTGAAGCGGTCGCCGAGAGCACTTGCACAATCATCTCGGCAGAGTGATAATTTTTTATTGTTGACACACAACAAAAGAGACACAATTTCGTCCACATGATTATTGCTGGGCGAATGTGAGTTGGAAAAAGGGGGTGGTATAAAAAGCGCACTCATGCGAGAGGATGGGCGAGAAAAAAATTGGGAATTCCAAGGGTTGCAGAACAATGACACGGGTATCAACATATCACGAGAGTACACATTTAAATTCACGCAAATATTCACTTTTTCCCCCTTGGGAGACAACGACAAAGAGCCCACCCACACCCCCTCGTCGATGTGTCACATTTTTACATCCACTCGTATTTATTATGATATTGCGCCCACACCACTCGGGGAGCTTTTCTGTTGGCCCTCCGGCAGACAAGAATGACGCGTGTACTTCATGAAAATTTAACAAAACGATGTACTAAGTCATGTGTAACAATATAATGATGTTCTCAAATATAATTTTTCTCAATCCTCCTTCCCATACCCTTCATGAGCCGCTCTCACGTGGTTCTTATGCTTCAAACTTTGAATACAAATTCCCTTCATCATTCTCCACCCATTTTCCACTCCAACCCTTCGGATTCCCCTCTCACAGGGTCTGAGCCAGAGAACGACCGAGCGGCTGGAATCAATTACCCACTATTTGTATTGGTCGCTACATATGAAATGAAAGCTCATAAAACGTTTTGCCCCATACGCTATAATATCTCATTCACATTATTTTCATATTGTGCCGCCTTTGCAAATTCTGCAACCCAAACGCCCATTGCATGGCATTATTGACAGAGAAGAGACGAACAAACACGTGTAAAATACACCCACCACCATCGAAAATGATGAAGAGGAAAAATGGGAAAACTCTCTAACAGGTGAAATTCAACAAGGTGTTGCATTAGTGACGCTGAAAAAATCCCATTGATCAGAAGACTCAGGGAAAAAGCACCCCAGGGTGAGCTTTCAAAATCAATTATTTTGTTGTGATTGATAAGAGGAAAAGAGAGAGAACGCTGGAATGGCAGCAACTCACGGTATAATTTGATGGCTCCATCGGTGTCTCCAAGTGAATTCTTCGCAACACACTTGTAGGATCCAAAGTCTGCATTTTCCACCCTCTTTATCGTGAGTCGCATCACAACTCTATAGGTGTTCTCGTACGTCGTGGGCTCGTGACGCTCCCCTGCAGAAGAGAAGTGAGCGCAAAGTAGATAAAATGTCAGAAGGGAGAGAAAACATGAAAAGAATTCTGCTACAACTGGAAGAAAATTAAATTTTCATTTGAATAATTCTGGCCCTCCCTGCCAGAGGAAAGCAGCCGCCCTCCGTTTTCATCACTAAATTATTTTCTAATGTGACTTTTCGTCTCTTTCATCCACCCTCACTCGGCAGTTCGTTTTTTCTGTCCTCAGGAATCTCCCCAGGTTCTATTTCTTGCTCGAATGATCACTAAGTGACTCTCAGTACCACAGACTGAGATGGAGAGGGCGAAAGTCAACAAAGTGCTCAATGAATGGCAGAAAAGTGATACGATGAAGCTCTTACATCCACCTTCGATTCGAACACATATGCGAAAGCTCAGCATTTTCATAAGAGTCAAAAGAGCACCGATTTCGCAGAATCAATGAAAGTCTTCATTCATGCGAGTTTAGAAGAAATGATTCGTCTACGCTCGTGCAACTCAAAATGGATGTAAAAGATTTCAAATTAATTTTGTCAACTTCTCCACTAATTTAGTAATGAATCAGTGCATTGTAATAGCAATAGTCATGAGTAATTTTTATCCATAAGGGAGGACTTTCCGACGAGGAAGCTCGCAAGCTCAAACAGAAGTAAGCTTTCTGCCTCACTAAATAGAGCGAGTGTTGATTTGAGTTTGCAAGCCACAACTAACGCAGCGTCGTTTTGGCTTGGTTGCATACAGCCCAAATACGGGGATGACGCGTGAGAAAGTTTCGGAAGTGAAATTGTGTACCTGGGGTGATGATTGTATCATTGAGCATCCAGTAGTTGATGGATTTGGGAAAAGCTTCTGACTGACAGTCGAGCGTTATTGATTGACCAAGTGCAGCTCCCACAAGTTGATTCTGAATCCAAATCATGGGCGGAACTGGAAGAGATAGAGAGAGAGAGAACAGGCAGTGAAAAAGATCCGTACCGTCACAGAAAGATTGATAATGGCAATGCATGATGTCTGGTTGTAGTGAAAATCCGACACGAATGGTGGTGTGTTTTCCCACCATGTGAGGACCTCATAGCGAGTGCACTCACAGTGAACGATGAGCATGACTCTTTTGCTAATTGTTGGTGGAATTCCATTCGATGCTATACAGAGATAAGCTCCCATGTTGAGGCGATTCACCCGTGGAATTGTGAGCACAGACCCATTGAAGCTGGTCACTGTAAAGGAGAAGAATCAAATGCTATAATCTCCACTCAGACTGCACCAGGCAAGGAAGAGCATGGCAACTTTCACAGCGCAAAAAGCACTCGATCTCTTCCATCCATGGACAGGTTGAAATGAGGAAGAAAGGAATTTGTGGAAAATTACCAAGGGGCAGTCAAATATTCTCTCATCCAATTTCTCTGACAAAACTTGCTCAAAGAGAAATTGTATTAGTCTAAATTAATATAATGTTGATATTTCCAGGCACTCGAACAATATAGAGAAATGCTAAATCCCCGCAGATTACCCTTCAAATGCATATAGAATATTTAATTTATTTGCACTGAATATGCAATTTATGTTTTAATCCTCCAACGCGATGAACCCCTCGCTAAGAATCTCAGCGGGATTTTCCCATTTCACTTATGCAAATATTGCATTATAGAAAATCATTCTGTATATTCCACAGTCAGTTGTTTTGCAAAGGCCAATTTACAGAAATGTTGAAATATGAAGTCTCTCACACTCCCAAACATGCTCAAATCTCATCTATTGAATCAAGTGAAATCTCTTTTCCATTTCCATGCTCACAATCTCTTTCGCAAACACACAATTTTGAGGGAGAAATTGAGAAGAGTGCCACTTGAGGGACAGAGTCGAGTGTTTAGCTTTCTACCTTCCCTGCCACCGGCCAGAGAAATGGGCTCTCCGCCCTCTCGGCGCCAGGTAATTGTTGGTGTCGGGGATCCGGTGGCCGCACATTTCAGTGTCACGTTGCTGCCTTCCCTCACCACCATATCCGTGCTCGTGGGATAATCCAAAATATCCGGCGGAACTGCGTCGGGACGACAAATGCCGGACATCGTGCAAAAAGAGACAAGATACACATAAATCGTTGTTAGGAAAGAGTGAAGTAATCTCCTTAAAATCATTCTAAAAATCCGATTTTGAGGGATGTTTTCTTGTCAATTTGCGAACTTATAAGAATTCCTTAGAATATTTCGGAATTATGTGTTTCCTCCAAATCATGGTGTGAAGCATTGTGATTTATGTTCGTTCGTAATTTTGTTTACAATAATATAAAAGTTTAATTCATGGATAGTTTTTATTACTTAGAAGACTATCTGTAAATTTCAAAAGTCATAAACTCGTCTTCTTTTACAACTTCTTCGACAGTGCGAAACACACAAAAATTCAGAAACTTTTAATAATACCCTCACATAATTTCACGTCCATAATAATTCACTCTTCAAATTAAAAGTAAAAACACCCTTGAGATCAACACTTAATCCTATTTTAAGCTTTTCAGCGAGAAGTGAAGAAACCTTAAATAGAATCTAAAAGATTCAGAAAATTCTCTCCACAAATTCAAGTGTCGACTAGATTTTTCCCAGTGGCAAATCTTCTAGCAGACTCTGATGCACTTCTACCGTGACGACTACCTAATTTATCAGCAATGTGTAGAAACTCACCGACAACGTCCAAGTATCCAACTTGATTCTTCATGGGATCCGTGTTTATTTGACACATGTACCATCCCTGCAAAGTGAGAATGAGGAATATAGAGAATGTGAAGAAAAATTCCCTGTGGATATTTTGTGAGAGATTCTCCGGAAGGTGATGGAGAAATATTCGCCACAGGAATGCCATCAGAGTTGATGAGAGATTGTTCAGATGTTGTCCACAGTATGTGTTTCTGCTTATTCAACTCTAATCTTAATCAGTTTCAACTCAGGTTGCAATTGATTGCTCTGTTGAGCGAAAGGATAACATTGATGTGATACTCACCTTATCTGACTCCTTAACATCACGAATCTTGAGCACCCATGATCTCTTCTCGGCGTGCGTGATGCTCATTCGATGGTTCTTCGTAATAACATGATTCTGGATCGTGAGGATTGTTTGCGTGTCCACACGCAGCCACGCAATCTAGCTCGAAAGAGAGAGAGAGCGAGAGAGAGAGAGGGTGAAAATAAATATTATATTTCGAAAAAGCTGTGGAGGCAAACTAATTACCAAAATTCTCACACTCCATTCCTCTCCAAATAATCAATTTCACACTTCATTCTGGGCAAATCAACCACAAATCCTGTGGGTTTCGCCCCACATTTTGCCATGCATGGACTTCCCGGACTCCCTTCGCGGGTCCACCACGCAAATTTAAATATTTTTCACCGCTTATTGAGTGCATGGAGGAGATAGCATGAAGCGTCAATGGGGGCTACTCCACAGCAAATTGTATTTGCGTGACACTCGCAAAAATGTCACGCCACAGCGGGCGTCAAAAAGCCACACAAATCCAATACAATTGGGCGGAACACAATGAGATGAGAGATGTTTTGCCGTTATGTGTGTAGAAATTGACAGAAAAGATGGTAAAACGTAAAACCTCAGAGCCTTAATTAATTTTCACTTCGAAATCACTTTCATTTGGTTTCGAGTCCAATCAAACTCATAGCACCATAATATGTATTATTGATAATTTATTTTTAGTCGCTTAGTTGATTGGCATATCAATAAAAGCAAAATGAAGTAAGTACTCAAAATGGCCATTAATCTTAATTGGAAATGATTTTGAATTACTAAATGCATTTATTGAAGAGTGGTTAGATACATAAATAAATCCCTCAAAATTATTGTCAATTGAAGTTTATCTGAATTTTATTATGTGTGATTTATGCATTTAACATCTAAGCGTTATCTATATTTGGAAATTTTCCACGTAATTAATCATTCCGCGTGAATTTTACCGCAGACATTAAAGGGATGCAGTAAAAACTGTTCATGCTTTCCGACATGGGGAAATTGAATCTCTCCGCACTGAATTAATTGATAAAGTAATGCTTGGGACTCTGTCTCACATGGAGAATGCCTCCTTCACGATGATTGTGTGCGTGTGATGGGATTTCGTATCAATTTCCCACGTTCACTCTCTGGGGGCACCCCAAAATCACACTCACTGCAACAGCTGCGATCCGGAGGCGTCGCATGGCGATAATGTGATGACAAACTCAATAACAATTAATTATGTTCAGTGCGTGACAACAACAATTTTGGATGCTTTATCTAAATTACGTTCACTATCTCTCACTTGTGGCGCGCTCTTCATGTGGTTTTTGCCGATGGTGGTCATTGAGGTTTTTTCCCCCAAACCGCCCTTGCCGCCTTTTTTCCCGCCGTCTCGCCCACTCGGTGATGAAAACCAGAAGGAGACGACTGGTGAGTGGGGAGAGAACAAAAGCACTTTGATCTAATTACATTTCTTTCGGGGGAGCGCTTCCTCCTTATCACAGCCTTCTATCAGCAATTTTTGCACCCCTCCACGCAGCCTTTGCCCTCCACCGCCCTTTTTACTAGTTCCCTTGACTTTTCATTGTCACCACGAGTCATATAGTTGGATTTCTTGAGATCCTCAGGCTGGGTTTTTGTGTGTGAAAATTTCTTCCAAGATTGGCGCCACGATGGAGACACAATTGAAGGTGGATATTTAATGCTCATAGAACGCAAGGCGGGGGAGGAGAAATGCCATAGGAAATGGGTGGGTGGCAAATGTCCCTGGTGGGCCACCCCCTAATGGATTTCAATTTACCCTCTTGTGGCAATGAAAAGGAAGAAATTCCGCGGACGTAAATTTGTGTGAGCGAATGACAGGAAGTATTTCGTCTTCCTGTTGATTATATGCTTTCCCCCACACCAGCCATGCTAATTGATATCACGAAGAAAATAACCACCCCGACGGAACAATAAATCGCCAGGCGATTCTCACACCCTTCGCGATGCTTCCCCAACATCGGCGATGACATTTTAATGATTTCCACCTCGCGCGCCAAGGCGTTGTGCGACCATTGCGGAGATAGTGATTGTGATAGCATTCTTTATTGCACTGGAACATCTCAGAAAGCATAAATACTACATAATGTGTGCTTGTTCTTTCAAAATTGAAAGCTTCAAAGCCGCTTTTTTGTATGGGTTGGTGCTAACCTCAATATTTTCTGTGCTTTTGCATGCAACAGCATTTACTCCAAATGAACCTGGGTAATGTGAAGTGACAAGGAAAAAGGGGAAAACTGCATGAGTTTTAAAATCACATGATGTACAAATCCACCACGGAAAACACTGCAATGCTCACGCTGGCTTTTGATGTGGCGGATCATCAAATATAATAAACATTTCCGCCACACAAAATAATAAATACAGATGTTATCTAGGACAAATTAGTTGCAACAGAGCAAATGAAGAGGTTTTCATTGGCGTTTGTGAGTGGCAAAGAGAGCTCCACATAAATAACACACTCTTCAATTTACATTAAAACACAGACGGTATGTATGAATGATGGTGATGGAAATTTTATTCATGTGACTCTTTTTTGCACCTCTCTCGTTACCCCTTTCGACCATTTACGTTTGCCGGGTGAACCATAATAAAATGAGGCATAGGGATGTGAAAGAGAAATTATTGTGGTGGATGAAAATGAAATTCTATGTGGCTTTATAACAATATCAAAGTAATTTGCATTTTCAATTTTACAGACCTAATAACATTTGTTGATTACAATTATAATTTTGCAATTTCCACACTCAACATTTTCTCATGTTATGTGGAAAATATAGTGGTGGGGCATGCGAACTTGACTATAGCGTGAAATATTGACGATATTTTGACCACTCACGAACTGCCAGCGCGTACATTTGGTCGCACTGGTGAATACATTCTCCACCCCACACTATTATGATGTTTTTACTGTGGATCTCCCAATTGAAATATACCCACAAAATCCACTCGATACAGTAACACGGTATTATGGCTAAATTAGTTTGTAAAAATTGGAGCAGTGTGCAGAAATTAACTGTTGGATATTCACTCGCACCCTGAGGGCATGTATAACATCCCCGAAACAATCGAATTTACGGAAATTTCACACAATATAGCATGAAATTTTGTCTATAAATTGTGTGAAAAAGGACCGAATTAAATTTAATATACTCCCATCAATCGTACATCAATATCCAATTATTATGGTTGCGCATATTTTCTATTAAAGAGATTAATTGAATGAAAATGAACAAAAGTTCTGTCACATAGCTTAAAAAAATACCTCTGTTGCTGATACAATGTCTAAGTTCGGTTTATTCTCCGGAGAAAATAATGTGCATAGAAAAGCATCAATGAAGTGTTTTTGAAGTAAAAAAAAAGCTGGAGGAAAGTCATAATTGATGCTAATAAATTCAATTAGCTACCCGCTAAATTACCCTACAATATCAAATGCTGAATGTGTGGAAAAATCTCCGCGGGAATGGGGAAAATTAGGCCAAGAGGCCTATCAGAGAAGTATTAGAGATTTCCCCAGAGTTGGTCGTTCGTCTTCCCCAAGTGAGAAACCCCTAATTTTCTCCCCATAAAAAATGAATCACCCCCAAAATGTGGGGTTGCAGACACTTAGGGCGGGGGGAGTGAAATGAAATCAACACGCGGATTCATTTTCACGCCCATGGATGAACGGGCATGGGGCACGCCAGGGAAGTTATTTCTCTGATGGAGTGTGCAAAAAAGGCGGTGAATCTCACCCACATTGATGCCTCATCCGTTGCTCAACTCGCGGCCGTCATTAATTTTCATTTAAATTTGATTCAAGAATTTATTTAGTGCGTGTTGCTGGCCAAATTGAAACATTTTTACCCCAATTACCACACTAATTGTTTGCTCTGGGGCGCCTCGAGGGTGGAAAAAACAGCCCTCGCGCCGCAGTTCCGTTTAATTTTCCCGATGTCGGTGGCTTGGGCAAAAGAATGAATATTGCGTTTGAGAAAAAGTCAATTAAAGCGGCCACGAGTGAAAGCCAGGCATTTTCCCATAGGACGTGAAAGTGGGAAAGAGTTGCCACGATTAATGCCAATGTGGTGAGAATTTCATCCCAGCAATTTGATGGAACAGCAAAAATTTATGCGATATTTCGTAATAATAATTGTTTTTTTGCTGCTTCTCATCAAAAATGTGTTTTTCGCTATCAATTGGATAAAATTCGTAAAAATATTCACATTATCTCTCATTTTAAATATACTAAAAATATTTTGTTACGAATGGCATTAATATGTATGTATGTTAAATAGTGCGATGCTGAACATATGTATCAGATATCAGAATTGAAAATAAATGAAAAAAGGTAAATCCAGTGATATATTTTGCATTAGATTAAATTTTCCTGGCTGGCCATAATTTTCTGCCAGTATCAAATTACGGACGGTGTGTTTTCCAAACAGTCCATATGTTTCACTAAAAATATTATTCAGTATTGTGAAAGGAGTGATTTTCCAGCAAACAATGAAGAGAAAATATTAATGCAAAATAATCATCAAATTACATTACAAACAGACGAAACGACAATTCAAGCAACAGGCCAATGTTTGTTTTGTATTTTATAAACGATGTTTGAATTCTGAAATAAGAATGTTTTCTCTCTTTCATTTCAAAAGTTTCAAAGCACTTTATAGTATATCAAAGGCAATATCGCATAACTAAATAAGAATTTTTCAGTGTTGAGTACTATTCTGAATATATTCTACATATATATAGCGTGAATGCGAAGCAAATTAAATTCCAATTCGGCTCTCAGAGTAAAAAATGCAATCAGAGAACCATAGTTCGATTGTATAGAAGTTCTCCCGCCAAATTGGAAGCCTCTAATGGGAGACACACTTGTGAGCAAACGATGCAATGGAAAAATTTGCATTCAACTACACTCCGTAACCCTCAACCCTATATGGCTCGGAAAATGATAAAAATTACCTTGTATGTCTGTAAATTGTCTATCGTGCAGCTCAGCGTCGCCTCCCGGCCAATGGGAATGGTCACATTCTGTATGGGTTCGCCAAATTTGGGCAAATCTGCAAAGAAGAGAATGGGAAAATTATCAAAATGTGTGTGTAGGGAAATTTCCTCTCTTTTCTGTATGTTCCACTTTCTCATGAACAGAAAAAATGCCAAAAGATTTTTCACAGGGACACACGAGTATAAAGAGGCATATAATGTGCTTCTCCTCACAATTATTTCACTGCAGTGGAGCATAAAATTGCTAAAAGAGTGAAAGATTCACGTGTAGCAGTATTCTCTGTCTTTGTCACGTGATTTCGTGGGGTGGGAAATTGCTGCAGGGATGGCAGCATATGTGACTGAGATTATTTTCTCATATTGATATTGATTTAACATCTTCACCATCCAATATTCATCTCCTCGTGCTTTCTCGACTGCGTTAAAACAATTGAAATTGGAAATGAAATTGAAAATGATATCTTTGCAAAATATGAATGGGAAAAGGCAAATTTTTGGTGAATATTGGAGATATTGTGTAGCGAGAGTATATGAAGGAAACTTAATGGGATTTTCCGAATATATTGTTAATTTCGATCGATTATTTGAGAAACCTTTTCCATTCCACATTTTTGTGATTTATCATAATCAAAAATATTTTCAGGAGCTTTTCATTGGTAAATGGATAAAACTTAACCCACCACATTGCATTAGATATTATTAGGTACATTTAAATATTCCAAATTCCAATAACTTCCATCGCCATCTAACATCGCATGATTTTGGTCGGGGATTTTCAAATGAATTTTAAAGAGACAAAAAATCTACCTTTTCCAAAACACCGAATGGAAAAGCTTCGTAATTTTCCACACAAAGAGGCACAGCAAACAGAAGAGAGAAAACCGGTGTTGTCCTGTAGATGCTTTTAAATTACTGTATAGATTGTATGGAGCAAAATGCTAAATTGTTTAAGCAAACGACTTCGGATTTTGCTGCAGTACTGCAGCATCTATATGTTTGCGCCGCAAGGGGTGGACTGTGGGTGGATGGAAAGGAAAAACTCTTCCAAGTTGGAAGGAAAATACTTGAGGACTACTTGTGATTCACAGTCCAATACATGGTACTTTGCTGTGTGGGAAACAGAGGAGAGGAGAATTTCTCTGTAACACTTTTGGTTGGATTTTAGTGGGTAACCGATACTTTGTTGAAAACTTCGTTCTACCACCAAGCATCTCGGTGGGAATTCGCATCAAATAAATTTTGATGTGATTCACAGACCAACATCGCACCATCTGAGCCATGGTGGACAAGAATCTCAACCCTATGAATGGGAATTAAGGAATTTACATTTGATACCCCATATTTTCTGCTATTTCTGACTTTTCTGCTTCCCTCTCGGACTATATTACGTAATTAAGCCTTTCACCATTCACTCAAGAGTCAAATCTTGAGGAAATTTCCTCATCACTGTGAAAAGTTACTGCAGAGGAATTTTTGTCGTTGACGAGTGGTTCTCTAATGAAGAAAAAATTGCCTTGTCAATTGAAGAAAGGATATAAAAACCAGAAGACTGATTGTCAACATACTTTTTATGAAAGCATAAGCTATGAGAATGCATTGCAAGACTGAAGTGTCATTGACCAAACTCTGTTTATCGCATGCAATCCTCCAATTTAAATTGAAAATTCAATCCATGCAAAATTTTTGGTATGCTCGACATTTCTCTTCCACTCAAATTGTTGTAAATTCCCACTGGGAGTAATTCAATACTTAAACAGCAATTCTCTTCCAATTTCCTTTCCCCGAATCGTATGCCTGGAACTCATAGCATTCTTTGGGGAACGATAGATTTTTCGACAATTCCTCCCCATGTCCACAAATAATAGCTTAACCAAAAAGACCCTCCAACAATCCTCGACAGACTTGAGAGTGGGAGACTGGAGAAATTCTACCATTTAATACCGAGAGAAAATTCCTCGGCTTTGGCGTAGAATTTCACTGGGCAAACAGAAAGGGAGCCCCTAGAATTGACAGATAGAGAATATAGAGAAATTAAACAGAAGGAGGAATGAAAAGCTATGCGTGAAAATTGGATATAATTTTCACGAATTAAAACTTCCAGCCAAGAAGCTTTGGGCAGCTTTAGCGGCTCCACTGAGCTTTGTCATCGTGAGCATAAGGAATTTTAGCGTCAAGTGGCAAGTCATTATGGCTAATAACATGATTTGTTGGATACTTTTCTCACCCCCACTCAAGCCCACTCCGTATAATATACAAAGACGAGGAGGTGCGGCAAAACGAACTCCGCCAAGGAGCCTTGAATTAAATGAAATATCGTGTTTAATAATTTACACATACTTCTCGCGCGCCCAAAAGCAATATTTACTTCCTCAATTTTCTCCACGTGAGTGTGAGAAAGTATATTAATCAATGTAATTCTGGATTATTCACCCACACCTCAAATGTGCGAAGAAAATCCTTCTATCGCAAGACTTTCCGACGCTTTCTCGTGGGAGTTTTTCACATAATATTGAAAAGTTGATGAGAAAGTTAACCATAAAAAGCTGTGAATTTGATGCTCTTATAAAGTTTCATATCTCTTCCACCCGGGAGAGCATTAATGCTCTCAGAGATGAAACTGCTGGACTCTCTTTGATATGCCAAGGAGAAAGTTTTCGTATGCTTGCCAGACTTAGCTTAGTAGCATTAAATAACAGTCTGTATAATATTTTCTTAAGCCAAATAAATGGCATGAGATAGTGTTTAAGATACATTAGATATTTTCACACACAATTTCAGAAGTATTTTTGGTAGATAATTGTCTTATCTCACTTTAGCTCGTGCACTAAAGGATTATTAAGTTATTTAATTTGAATGTGAATTAAAATTTTGGAATCTGACTGATTAATCTGTGTTAGATTGTACCAAAATTTGAAGATTGTGGTCGAAATAAGATGTATTCAGAAGCTGAATAGTCTCCAGAACATGTTGCCAAAGTGTGTTATAACAATAATAATAATAACCCTGTTTATTGGCAAGAGGCAACAAAAACAATAGCAAAGCGAGAGGTCTTGTTTCCCATCTCATCCTCAATAAACGCATTTGGCTGAAAGCTTTCCACGCGCTTTCACGATAAGCACGATATCCATTACCATCAAGATTAATTTTTGAAAGCCCGTTTAAATAAACACAGTACAAATAAAATTAATTCATTGATCCATAATGAATTGTAATTCAATATTGATTATTTGCCTTTTTGCCCTTACATGGGGTGAGCAGGACAGCGGAAAAGCTCTCGGTGTGGGTGGAAAACAGCGGAAAGTTCAACAAGTTTATCGTTTGCCCGAGTCTTTTTTCCCGCCTTCGAATGCGGAACAATAAACAAATCGGAAAGTTCAATGAAGTGCACGGGGACCAGGGTGGATGACTTTTGGGGTCGGCGTGACTCCAAAAAATGCCATCCCATCGCTGAAATGGCAACTTTCACCGGCACAGCAATTCATCGTTGGCAAACTTGATAAATAATGGAGAGTCCCAAAGTGGATGAAATTTGTCACTTGCAAGAGCTTTCGGCATATTTTATGTAAATTTAGCTCGGAAAATTTCTGCATTGATTCACTGTTTGGAAGGAATAAATTAGTTGGCAATCGAGTCGAGCGTAATTTGCAAAATGAAGAAAAGCCCTCAATATATAGTCGACAAAATTGGCTGAACTCACTTACAGAGAAAGCTAAGTAAAATTGAGGGAAAGAAAAACTGTGGGATTCTCGGAAGTCGAATCAAGTGGTTAATTGTAAGAGAAACTGTTGAATATTTTGCTAAGAGAAGATTGCTGGAGAGCAGAAGCGACATTAATTAGTGTCACACCGTTAAATTTTCCCGTGGCATCTCTTGGGAGTGATTTTCATTGGGAAAATCACCCTGTGGTTGTCGTCAGACATTCTCACGCGGAAACTTTCCTCCCTCCTCCTCATCGTTATGATTATTATTATTATTGTGAGCTCGTGCGATGTCATTGTGAATGGAGGAACTTTGCCATGCGTTAAAGTAGCTCTTATGCTTCAAATTGAATACTCCGTAGTGCTATTATTTAGATATTGGCTATGTTATTAAATTACTCAAAACCTTATATGTGTGTATACATATTGGTAAGTATACATAAAGTACATATATAGGCAAATTCAACATTAAAACTATATGAGAGTGAAAATTCCATATTGAAGCACAAACTGAAAAATACAAGAATATTTTTATATAAATGGCGGGTCAGAGAAGGGGAATCATTGCAATGAAATCCATTATTCATTGTTGAAATTAATTAATAATGATCCTAGCAGTTATAATTGTGAATTTATCAAAAGTATAAAGTTTTATTACACAAGTAATAAAATGAATATAATTTCATTATACACTACACATTTCTTTTGTGTTGTTATTAACCAACTGTTTTATGATGGGAGGCAATTGAAATGTCAAACAAAGGGATAATTACTAGAGGCAGACTTATTTTGCAATTAATCAGTTCATTCATAATGCAATGAGGGAAAATTTTTTCACACTTTTATATCCATATTGCGAATTTAATTGAAAAACATTTTTACACTGCTCTATTAATTTTCATCAAAAATTCAACAAAATTGCAATAAAATTTTCAACATGTTTTCAGTATTAATCAGAAACAAGGAAAGTAGATTCCCTTTAGGGATTCACACTGGACTTTCATTAACCCCATAACTCGTTTATAAGCTTCTCCTGGTCGTTCAGAATGCCACACTGCTGCAGAGTTGTGCAAATGAGTGTCAGTATCTCAAGAATTCCATGAATCCCCAAGTATCTTTCCAATGATCTCGAGGTCGTGCCCATAAAAATTGACTACATGACAAAAAGGAATTCTCAAACGACCCTTTGGGCGCTTCCGGTGGTGCTTTCACTAGTATGGAAAAGTACCTCATTGTCGTGGCAATTTTTCAAAGTTTTCTCCTATCTTGTGACGCCTTTCATGGTGCTGTTGTGGTTCAAAACTTCAGCCACACATAACTATAACATACCCTTTGTTGTGCTCCTCCACTGAATAAAT